CTTTCGGTTAGACATCCCTGCCCTTGGCCTTTTCCATCCGGTTATCAGGGTAGGGGAACTGTAATCCTGGTGATGTAGGGGTACCTTCAGGCGGGGCATCTCCTTCCTCACTCTGCTTGGGTTCTTTGAGGTCAGGACTAGAACCCCCATGCCCTGACACCGGTTGACACTCCCCTTCCTCAGATGTGGGTGGAACGCCCTACAGAATGTACTGGAAGGATTGCCAGCCACGTGCCTGTCTTCCAGGCTGAGTGGACTGGGCTCCAGGAGCTGAGGGAGCCTATATCCCCATGCGGAATAACCCGCCCCCCTCATCCTCCGCTGTTTTATCTTCATGAGCACATTCCAGACACCAGTGCTTACCTCTCTTTGGTATGGAGGTGAAATCGACGTATCATACAGCCAGCCAGTGTGTAGTGAATAATTCACCGTCATTCAGCCCTTTCACAGTGTGTGCGACCTCACCTCGGTCGACTATTGCTTATGATACCCGTGCAGTCCCTCTCTCACCCCAACATCATCAACACCCCAAAAGGAACCCCCATACCCATTAAGCCATCGCTCCCCATTCCCCCTCCCCCTCTGCCTCTGGCAAGCACCAATCTGTGTTCTGTCCATATGGATTTACCTGTTTTGGACCTTGAATATAAGAGATCATTCTATATGTGACCCTTTGTGTCTCGCCGCTCTCATTGAGCATAACCTCCTCAGGCTTCATCCCCATCACAACACGTGTGTATGTCATTATCTTCCATGGCCAGATAATATTTCACGGAGCGTACAAACTGCCATATTGCTTATTTATTCATCTTTTGATGGACATTTGGGCTGTTTCCACCTTCTGGCTGTTGCGAATGTTGCTGCAGTGAACATGTGTGCTCATGTACTTGAGTCCTGGTGTTTAATTCTTTGGGGGCATATATCTAGAAGTAGAAATATGGGGTCATATGATAATTCTGCTTAATTTTTTAAGGAAGGTATATACATTTCTTTTTTAAATAGCAATTCTACTCTGGAACTTACCTGCATATGGAAAGACATGGGAAGTGGATGAGGAGTCAGGAGGTCTGGGTTCTTTTCCTGGCTTTGCCACTAACCAGCTGGGTGACCTTGAACAAATCACTTCCTCTTTCTGGGCTCTTGTTTCCTCATTTGAAAAGCAAGGGGATTGCATAAAGCTAAATGGTCTTTCAATTCTCTTTGTCTTTTAAGATTTTATCCTGGGATCGTGCCCTACATCAGGCTCCTTGCCCCGCAGAGAGCCTGCTTCTCCCTCTTCTTCTGCTGCTCCCCCTGCTTGTGCTTTCTCTCTCTGTTCAAATAAATAAATAAAATCCTTTAAAAAAAGATTTTATTGGAAAAATTGGGTTCTAGAGAGAAGAGAGAGAGAGAATTGTCAAACAGCTAGACCTGATTATCTCTATGTGCATTCCCTACCGTGTTTTTAAATTGTGAGTTGAAAGCATCCCAAGTAATGGGGCTTTTCCCCCCTGCCTGTGTGTTTCTAGTTAATGAATAGCTTCGGGCTTCCTATTCCCATGAGGATTCCCAGAATAAGATATCCTTTTCTTGCCCATCGCTTCCTACTGCTTGGCAGCTCCTGAACAAAACATGGCGGCCGCGAAGCCAAGACTGGCGCCATCCCATCCCCACTGTCCTCTCTGCAGGAATGCTGAGCCTCACCCCGTGCTAGTTCTCACAGCGTTCAGGTGGTCAGCTGGATCACCCAAGTCTGGTCTTGGGAGCTGTCGGATCCAAGGAGAGGAGTCAGCAGACTCTTGCTCAGTCCATGTCAAGACCATCTTAGAAGGTTAGGAGGAACAACCAAAGGCCTCCTGTGATACTGTCCAGCCAGGAGCTTTTCCTCCTTGGGCGATTTCTACTCTCCTGAGCCTCTTCCATCTGATTGATTCGCTGGCCCGAGTGCACTGCCTAGGGAGGGAGGGAGTTTTTCCTCCACTAATTGGCAGCCTCCACAGGATGCCATCCAGGTCCAAAGTATGCGTTCTCCTGAGCTGCCTGCTGGCTTTCTGGGGAGAGCACAAGGTTTCAAAAAAAAAAAAAAAAAAAAAAATGTGATCCCAGTGGTTTATTTCATTCGGTCAGCCATTTATTTGCTCATTTCCCATCCACCCATCCCATATTTTTGAGTGCCTGCTGTGTTTTTGGCACCATGTTAGAGTCTAGGAATAAACAAGATGAGGCGCCTTCCCTATGGAGCCTTCCTTTTTTAATAGAAGATACAGATGTGTGGCTTTTGAAATGAATACAATGAGTACAAAGTGACAAGTGCTAGGGCGTCTGGGTGGCTCAGTCAGTTAGGCGTCGGACTCTTGATCTCAGCTCAGGTCATGATCTCAGGGTCATGAAGTTGAGCCCCACTTCAAGCTCTATGTTCAGCAGGAGTCTGCTTGAGATTCTCTCTCCCTCCTTCCTCTGCCCCTCTCACCCCTGCTCACGAAATCTCTCTCTCCCTCCCCAAAATATATAAATAAATCCTTAAAATATAAGTGACAAGTGGCAAGTGCTATATAATGGGGAGGGGGGCGTAAATGGCGTTCAGAAGTACAGACAGGAGACATACAAAGTCATCCTTGGCAAGTCCTCACGAGAAGGCAGATTCAAAGCGTGCTCTAGACAGAAGCTAATCTGCGCAGAAGTCACAGAGCAGGATGCATGAAGGGACCTGGCAGGTGACCAGTGTTGGCTAGAACACAGAACATGGAGGGAGGGTGATGAGAGGCGAGATTGCAGAAGGGGCTGTGCTTGGAGGACCACCGAGCCACGTCGAAGGATTCAGCTCTGGTGATGTGGAGAGTGAGTCAGAGGGGTGAGAGCAGCAGTGGGGCGAGCACTCAGGAAGCTGTTGTGGTCACTGTCATGAAACAGCGGTGACCAGAACCAAGGTGGAAGCAGTGGGAAGGCAAGTGGATGGACGGTGGGGCTTGAGGCTGTCGGGCCCAGCTTCCAGGAAAGAACCTGCTGCTGTGGGAATCAAATCCCTTAGCTGGCCTCCTGTCCCGGCCCAGGGGAGGTCCCTCATCCTCCAGGTCTCCGGAAGGATAACTTTGTCTCCCAGGATCCAGCCCAGGAGCCCTGCTCCTTTTGCCGACAGCCTCAGGCAGGAGAGGTCGGAGATGGTGGTGGGGTACAGGGAAGAGAAGAATTCTGCGGGAACCTCCTCCCCCCTTCTTCTTGGACTCGGCCCCAGGACAGAACAGCACACTGCACCCAGGTTGAAGACCCCACGTTTCAAACCCCATGGCAGTTTCAAAGCACTGCATCTCAGTGCCTTCCCTGGGCCACTCTCTTCTGTATTCAAGAATAGTTAACACACAGGGTTGTATTAGTTTCGGGTGTGCAATATCGCGATTGAACAGTTCTATACATTCCTCAGTGCTCGTCGGAATAAGTGTACTCTTAACCCCTTAACGTGTTTCATTCATCCCCCACCCACCTCCCACAGGCCATTCTCTCTCAGGAGCTAGGGAAAAGGGTTTCTCTCTTAAAGACTCATTCTAGGGCCCTTGGACAGTTGGGGTTTTGTTTTTTAATGAACATATAATGTAGTGTTTGTTTCAGGGGTCAGGTCTGGGATTCATCAGTCTCACACAATTCCCTGCACTCCATAGCACGTACCTTCACCAATGTCCACCCCCCAGCCACCCATCCCTCCCACCTCCCTCCCCTCCAACAACCCTCAGTTTGTTTCCTGAGATTAGGACTCTCTTACGGTTTGTCTCTCTCTCTGGTTTCGTCTTGTTTAATTTTTCCCTCCCTTCCCCTATGATCCTCTATCTTGTTTCTCAAATTCCTCATATCAGTGAGATCACATGATAATTGCCTTTATCTGACTGACTTATTTCACTCAGTATAATACCCTCTAGTTCCAGCCACGTCCTTGCAAATGGCAAGATTTCAGGGGTTTTGATGGCTGCATAGTATTCCATCGTGTGTGTGTATGTGTGTGTGTGTGTGTGTGTGTGTGTGTACACACACTACATCTTTATCCATTCATCTGCTGATGGACATCTAGGCTCTTTCCATAGTTGGGCTATTGTGGACATCGCTGCTGTAAACATTCTGGTGCACGTGCCCTTTCAGATCACCACATTTGTATGTTTAGGATAAATGCCCAGTAATGCGATTGCTGGGTTGTAAGGTAGCTCTATTCTCAACTTCTTGAGGAACCTCCATACTGTTTTCCAGAGTGGCTGTACCATCTTGCATTCCCACCAACAGTGTAGGAGGGTGCCCCTTCCTCAGGTGTTGGCGAGGATGTGGACAATCGTTCTAATCAGACATGATTTGTTGTGCTTGAGAATGTGGACATTGGGCCGTCGTAATATTGCTCATCCTACCAACCCGCTGGAATCCCCTTTTCCTGGGTCGTAGTCTCAGCATTGCCGTTATCTCTAAAGGGACAGCATCAGGGACTGCCATACCTTTGCTGCACAAAATGTCTGCAGAAATCCATTTTTTATTAAAAAAAAAAAAAAAAAGCCCTTTGAGCAACGAGCTTTCACCTAACTCCACACAGCACATAGGGTTCAGAGAAGCTATGAGACTGGTGTGTTTCTTACTGGCCCAGCACATGGCAGCCTCTAGGTGCTGGACCAGTGGGACCATGTTTGTTTTCATGACTTTTCCATGAAGAGTGGCCCTTCCTTCTAGAACAGTGATTCTCCACTGGGAGTGGTTTTGTCCTCTAGGGGACAGTTGGCAGTGTGTAGAGACATTCTGATTGGGGGCAGGAAGGAGCTGTGCTGGCATCTAGAGGGTAAAGGCCAGGGAGCCTGCTAAGCACCCAGCAATACCCAGCATCCTTCCCTGCACAAAGAACTGTGGATCCGCAATGTCAATTGCACAAGTTTTTAAGAAACCCTGTTTAAGAACATCAGTCTGTGACCAAACCCTTGAGTTCTTCAGGCCCTATAGGATTGCTAGAACCAACTGCAAGTTCAGAAAAAACTCACTTGGCATTGTATTTCTTTCCACAGCTGAGCTCTGTCCGGCAGGCCCAGTTAGAGCGGCTGGAGGCGGCAAGACCCCGCAGGCCGGGGAGCAGGGAGCGGGGCCCCGTGCTGAGGATGGCCAGGCAGCAGCCGCCGCCCTGGGTCCACGCAGCCGTCCTGCTCTGCCTCCTCTGCCTCAGTGGGGCCATCGAGATTCCTATGGATCGTGAGTCCCGCTCCATCCTCTCCTTTGATTCTCCTGATTTGGGGCAGAGGGTTGGACTGGAGGGATAGGTCAGGGGGGCGTTAAGCCCAGCTTTCGGAAAGGCTGGAGAGAGGGGAAGTGGTAGCTTCTGGAGGCAGAGCTGGGTTTCCCTCCAAAGCATGGAGGCAGGCAGGCTCGTGTTCGGGAATGTGAGAGGAATTTTATAGCACAATCTCCAAAAACTGTGTCTGAGCTGATGCTTGGGCTGCCTGGAGCCTGCTAAGCGGGACCAGAGGTGGTGGAGTCTGCAAGTCTGTGTGTCTCTTGGGAGTCCTTCCCTCCACTCCCCTCCCACGGCCCTCTGCGGTCCTGACTTGCCTGTCAACAGGGAGTTTCCAAGGACCAAGTGTAGTGGACACTTATCTGCCTTTCTATATCTGAGCTAGACCCTTGGACTGTCTTGGCAGGTCTAAATCAAGATGGATGGCATGGGGACAGTAGGGAAAGGAATTATTTTGCACAAGACAGGGGCTAAGTGAAACTTTAAACCAGAGCTCCGTTATAATACCGTTGTGGGAAAACCAGGCGCTGATTTCAGCTCTCCCATGGCAAAGTTGGGAAGTAAAACCCGTGTCATTCTGTGTCCCAGGGTGGGGGCATTATTTGGCCACCAGAATCATCAGACAAGGGGCTCGGGATGGTGCTCGAATAGCCCCGTCTCTAGCTGCTGTGTCTGTTGTTACATTCAGAAGGGGCCCGGGGACTGGCAGCCCCGGTCCTTGGCCCCGCTTTTAGATGTGTACTACCTTTGCCGTAATTCCGGCTCTTCCATCAGAATGTCTTGGCATTCCAGTGCTCTGATGTGGGCACACCACCTCTGTTGCCTGTTCCCTGCTTCCAGAAATAAATGGGGCCCACATGATGCCAGCCCTGACTTGGGCTCTGTCCAGGTGACAGATGTCTGGGGAGGGTAGGGAGAGCAATGCAGCTTCCAAGGAGTGCCCACTGAGCTCTCCAAAGCCAGGCCCTGGGGCCTGGACTTAGCACAGCTTGGAGAAGAACTGCATGTACTTTAGCCCCCTCCCACTCAAACTTACCGATAAGAGCCGCTAGAGGAGTGGGCACTTCTGGGTAAGAGAAGACCAATAGAAACTGTAAGCTGGACCCAGAACCAAGATGGGCAAGGCCCCTGCTGCTCTCTCAATAGCCCCAAGTGTGTGTGTGTGTGTGTGTGTGTGTGTGTGTGTGTGCGCATGTTTATGTGTGTGTGTGTGTGTGTGTGTGTGTGTGTATTCAGTGTTGGGGGGGAGGGTGTCGTGAAAAGAATAGTTCCCATGGAGACCATCTGCCCTGCTAACTCAAGGAAGAGTGTCTCATTAACAATCCCAGGCAGGCAATCTAATAAGGAGAACGATAAGGCCATGTCCCTGGAGAGGAGAGGGGTGCTGAGGAAATTGGGTTATCAAGGAGGTGCTGAAGGCTCATTTCTCTTCTGCTTCTCCTCATTCATTCACCTGCCACTGTGACCCCTGGGGCTAGTGGGTGAGGAGTTCCTCCAAGATGAACTTACAAAGAGACAGCTTTGACGTCTGTGTTAGGAATCTGGATTTCTAAAGCTCTGCTGGAGCTGTGGGCAGGTAACCCAGCTGCAAGTGTCTCCAAGGGACCCCATGGGGGGCAGAGACCCCCCTCATGCCATCTCCCCATCTCCTCAGTGTCTGTGAGGAGGGAGGGCCCGGGGAGTTCTGGAATTGTCTTCTGGGAAATGGAGACCCTTCCTTGCTCTGGGTCACACAACAAAGGGGTACTAGATTCACGAATACAACCCAGGTCTTTTGGCATCCCACTTGGTTGGCACTCGACATGCCTCTCCCCGACCTCTGGTAATCCCACCTTCTTTTAGTTCTTGGAGCTCACCAGAGTAGCAGCTGCCGTGCACGCGCCTGAGAGCTAAGGGCTTCTACAAGTGCATCTCCTGTGACTCTCACAGCGAGTCCTTTGCTGACATTAGGAAGCTGGGGTGCCATTCTCTCCAGCCCCTAAGTGGCAGGCCCAGCGCATGACCACAGCCCCTATCTGAATGAAGAGGGGAAGCCTTTTGTGACATGATGTCTGGTGCCCCGGGGATGTCACAGCAGGAAACCCATGATGCCTTCCCAGAGCAAGTCTATCTTGCAGGCACGGTGTCCATAACAACTTCTCCAGAACAGGTCTGCCAAAGCCTAAGGCAAGACGAGAGAAGTCCAGCCCTTCAGAGGAGACCCAGTGGCCCCAGGAAGAGGTCCTTTTCAGCCAGCTTTTCCCCTCCTGCTGGGTCAAGCATGACAGGCACCCCCCCAACACACACACCAAGTTACCTGAGCCCATCCTTCCCTCTTACCCTGTGCTGAGGCCCCGGGGGCTGGGTGGGGACAGATCACACATTCGTTTTCCTCCCCATCCCCCACCACCTCCCAGGGTTACTCAGGTCTTCACTGATATACAACCTATGTAAGTTGAAGGTGTACAGCCTGATGATTTGCTACACATATATTATGAAATGACTGCCACGTGGGTTAGTTTACCCCCCATCCCCTCACACAAGTACCTTGTGTGTGTGTAGCCATAACTCGGAAGATTGACTCTTGAAACACACTCGTGTGTGATACAGTGTGCTAATTATAGTTGCACGTGCATTCGGCCCCCAGAACATTTCCATCTCATAGCTGGACATTTGGACCCCTCACCGGCATCTCCCCGGCCCCTGACAACCATTCCACTCCGTTTCTTTGAGTTTGACTTCTTTAGATTCTACATGGAGTGAGAACATGCCAGAGCTTTCTCTGACTTAATTTCACTTAGCATAAGGTCCTCAAGGCCTATCTATGTTGTCACAAAAGGCCGCAGGGAGACATACATGCTATGTTCCCTGGAGGGTTATCCGCGCTTGCCCAGGTGTGGGGCACGTGAAGATCAGGCGGTCATAATTTTTCTGCGTGTTGCCTGGGAGTGGCTGAGGGGGCTCAGGCCGGAGGCTGCCATTCCGCCCGCCTGCCCCTTTCAAGAGGCCATATTTGTGCCTTGAGGACCAGGGCATTGGTTCTGCTCTGGGGAGTTGGGGCCCAGCAGGCTTCCTGGAACAGCCCTGGGCTGCGACACAATCCCTCATTGAAACACTGGCCTCCAGCCCCTGCCGTTCTGCCAACAGAGTCACACGCACCCGCCTCCCCCCTACCTCACCCACCCCAAGGAGAACAACGTGACCTTTGAAAAAAGCAAAGGGTCGCCTCATCAACAAGAGTGGGTTTGCCAAAAAGTGAGTCTGCTGGCAGCTCGCCCGTCCATCCCTCTCCCCACGTTGAGGGACTTGGCATTTTTCTCCTAGGAACCCATAGAGGAGACAGTGGGGTGGGAGACATTTCGTCCTCACTGTCATCCCAAAGACTGCTGCAGGATGACCTCAACACACGCACACGCACACACACACGCACATTCACACACTCTCCATCTTCCAGGGACAGGTGCCAGGGGCTGGTGCCAGGGAGAGAGAAGAAGTGCGGGGATAAAGAAACCTTGCAGACTGGGCAGGCTTCTGCCTTACACCCTACAGAGCTCATTGGAAGATTTTTCCCTCCCCCTTGGAAGTCAAAAGAGCAGACCCATTTTCCACTTGACGTGACTACTTTGTAGGTGGAGAGAAGGGCAGGTGGCATGACATGGAATTTGGGGGGTGTCACAGGACTAGGTAGGTTGCTCTTGTCCCCAGGTGGGCAGGCCTCACTGTCATCTCCCTGTGCTGGCTCGTCTTCTGGGTTGGTTTTGTCTCTGTAATAAATTCCTTGGTGACACAATGGTGGTTGCAGATGTCATGACCTCTTTAGGGAAGTAGACTCTCAAGAGGCCCCCGGCCTGGTTTCATTGTGGGGCTGGGGACAGCATCCATCCAGCTCCGGGAGTCTTCACTCCACCATGGTCTCCCCTTTATTTACCTTATTCACATCTGGAATGTTAGGGAGAGCATGCTGGGGACCCACCTGGCCAACTGACCTCTCTGGCCAACGATAGATTTGTAAGAAGAGCTCTGGACCAGACTAAGGTGGGCTGGTTCTCATTCCATTTCTGCAGGAAAAGTCCTATTGACCTTTAACCGAGTGACTTCCCATCTGAGAATCTGAGATTCCCTGGATAATATCTAGGGCTCTTTCCATTGAGCCAGCCCTTGATTTTTTAAAAGAGAGGCTTGAGGGTCATGTGGGCAAAGCAGAGCTTTTGCCAGGGCCAGGACAGAGCCCTCCACTGTGTGTGGGGACCCGAGAGCCATCCACTATGTCTTCAGATGAAGAAACCGCAGGCCTGGGCTAGTGGTCCCAGGCAGTAGGTCAAGTGTCAGCCCTGCTTCTCCTAAAAATGGCCCCTTCTCCCCACCTATCCTTCATGCTCCAATACACTAGCTTTCCAGAATTAGCCATTCTTGGGCCACTGGCAGGAAAACCTTATAAGGGTGAGGATGCCACTGTGGGGAACTCCAGGGAGCATATGTTCAGAAACCCCAGATTTCCCCTTTACCCCGGGACTTTTCATTTCTTTTCATTTCCTGCCAAGGCTGCACCCAGGCATATGGTACAGATAAAATTACTTTTCAGTGCCCCAGCAGACCACGCAACCCTGGCCCACTTGAAAGGATTATTCTGGACCTTTTAGTGCGTCTTACTCAAGACTTTGACTTACCGACAGTGCACAGAGCAAGGGACCCCTTCCTGCCACACTCCGCCTCTCCTCCCTGATGTCTGTCTTCTCCCTCAGGACCCTTCTGGCACCTGTAGTCCTGCCTTAACTCTGCCTTCTCCACACTGCCCCTCTCTGGGCCCCTAATGCTTCTCTTCCACATCTCACTGTGGCTGAGTCAGGAAGCTTCAAGGTCACCTGGGCTCACCCACAGCCTCTGCTTTCCCCTGGAAAAGACTGCCCGTGACACCAGCTCGTCCCAGACCTCAGCACTGGAGTGGAAGAAGCTTTGCATATGACTTCATGCTAGAGCCATTAAGAAAAGGCCTCTTACAAAGTGACAGAAACACACAGTCTCTTTTCTGCACATTTTACACCAAGGCCTTCTCCCCCAGAAAGTTACCATCAAAAGTCTTGCTGTTGGGGGTGCTTGGGTGGCTCAGTGGGTTAAGCCTCTGCCTTCGGCTCCGGTCATGATCTCAGGGTCCTGGGATCGAGTCCCGCATCGGGCTCTCTGCTCAGTGGGAAGCCTGCTTCCCTTCCTCTCTCTGTGCCTGCCTCTCTGCCTACTTGTGATCTCTCTCCCTCTGTCAAATAAATAAATAAAATCTTTAAAAAAAAAAAAAAGTCTTGCTGTTGGAAGCATGGTGCCCTGACCCCCAGCATTGGCACCACCTGGTTGCTGGTCAGAAACACAGTGTCTGCTCAGTCGGAACCTGCATTCTATCCAGACCCGCCCCCCAGGTGGTTCACGTACCTGGCAGAGTCTGAGAAGCCCGACCTCAATTAGGCACTGACTTGTGCACGGGCCCATGCATGCCACAGGTGAGGGCTGGGCGAGACTTGTGCTACCTACCTCCTGATCCCTTCTGTAAAAAGTGCCGGAAGGAGTGGCGGGCTCCACTTCATCCCTGCACTCGTTTGGAAGAGGGATTTCCATATGGCCATGTACTTCTGCCGTGAGCAGAGCCACAGCGATTCATCGGTCCCTAGAATTTTCCAAAGCGTAGGCAAGGAGGTGCTTTCGTGTGTGACAGGAAGGCACAGTGGGAGGAGTGAGGCCTGTGGACCACGCGGGGCCTTTGGGGCTTTGCTCTGGAGCCCTGGTTCCGATCTGCTGCCTCCCGGGATTCTCATCCCCGCCCCGCTGGCCCGGGAGCCCCCTTTCCCTCAGCGGCGTCTAGAGCCTGGCCTCTTTCAAGCAGCCTTGTCACTTTTGATACTTGGACTTCCCTGATGGCATCATTTGGGCAGAGGCTGGTCTTTCTGCTCAGCTTAGTGGTTTGAGGTCCCCGTGGAGCTGTCACCTCCTCCACGAAGCCCTCATTGGGTCTGTCCCCATCTCTGTGTGGCTGTCCTACAGAGTTCTGCAGCTGCGAGCAGAGAGCCCAGGCGCCATGCCCACACCCAGGCCAGCCTCGGTGCGCTCCCTGCGGGCTGGGGCCTGAGGAACCCGGGCGAGTAGTCATTTGCGATAACCTATAACCGATGTCTTCTTTTCTCCCCTCGCAATGCTAACCCACCGGAACTAACAGCAAGCATTCAGAATGAGCGTAAGTCCCCGCGCGCCTCTCTGCACTCGTGCCTCTGGGAGGTAGGAAGGCAGCAAGGAGGGGCGGGAGAAGGCCAAGTGAGGAGATACAGGGGGATTAACCACCTTTCCACCCTGCCTTTGGGGGCTTCTTGACACCAGAGCCCCTGCAGTGCGGGCCCGGGAAGGGGAGCGGCCAGCCGGAGCCCCCCATTGCTGGGAATGGCAGAGGAGCAGGGGGATAAGAAGGGCCGCTGCTCCCTCTGCTCCGGTGGCCGGCACAGGAGCTCCACGGAGAACACTGGAGGCGGGGCCGAGAGTGAGACGCGCTGGCTCTTTGGTGGGCAGACAAGTCCCTGGGGACTGGGCCTGGGAGCTCCAGCCTCCCCATGCTTTGGCCATCTGTGGACCCTCCAGGGCTCAGAACCATCCCGGCCACGGGGCTCTGGAACGCTGGCTGCTTTGTGGTCTTAATTCATTCAGTAAATGTATTTCAAGAAGTCTCATGCACTAAGCGTTGCACCAAGTGTTGGAATACAAGAGTGGGTAAAACAGAACTTTCTCATAGAGATCCCATGAGATCTGAAAGAGATTCTTCTTAGGCTCAGTCCTTGACATAACCCCCTTTCCCCTGGCCCCGTTTAAGGAGCTGGGCCCCTGGCACAGTGTACTGTCCCCCCCCCCCCCCCCACTGGCTTGCCGGCTTGTGCTGTGGCTCCCGAAGCTCTTCGGTTCAGCTGCTCCCCAAGCCAGGCCCCCGAAGCCCTGAGCGCCCCTGTTTGTGCTGTTGCAGTATCCCAGCCCCCAACCATCACCAAGCAGTCTGTGAAGGACCACATCGTGGATCCCCGCGACAACATCTTGATCGAGTGTGAAGCCAAGGGGAACCCTGCCCCCAGGTGAGCGCACTGGCAGGTAAATCCACGCCCCCCCCCCCAAGAGGTATTGAAACCACACCCTGGTCCTGAGCGTAGCTGAAGCAGTAGATAAATTAAAATTATCCAGAAGACATCTCTTGGATACCTACCTGGTGGAAAGTACAATTCAGAGAACTAAGAAATGTAGCTGATGAGGAGGCTGGGATCCAGAAATCCTCAGTGGCTTAAAGTCACACCCGGAAGTCAGGACGAGATACTAAGTTTTCTGACTGTCGGTGTCACACATTCCTTCCACTGCCTTACCTCCCCAACTTTACCCCACCCAGTGCACCACTACCGTGCGTGCGTAGCTTATAGGAAGTTCCTCCTGCTGGCTAACCAGAGTCTTTCATGCTGAGCACATCTCGGCTTGTGAGCACATCAGCATTAAATAAGGCGTCAGCAGACCAGAGCCGAAGGCCTGCGGGTGCGCGGACCCAGTTAAATGATGCTCCTCCCACCATCTCCTTAGAGCCCCTCTCCCTCCTTCAGAGAGGGACCCATGTCCTCAGGAAGAGGAAGTGAAATGGAAGCACAGAGGTATTACATGCCTTTGCCAAGGTCGCCCAGCTTGAAATGGGGCAGAACCTGGAGTTAAACCCAAGCCTCTGATAGCACCCCACCCGTCCCCTCCCCCACCCCAGACCAGGTATGTTTCTACCAAACAGAAGACACGGGAGATCGAGAGCTGTTCTGCTATTTGTCCCCCTCCTTCAAAGGAGCGGCAGCCACAGGCTGCACCATGCAAACCAGACATGACCGGACTCTGTGCTGGGCGTCTGTCTGGAGAAATGAGGCAGGGCGGAACTTCCGGTGTATGGCAGCCTCTTTCTGCCTTCCCCCTAGGCCCCCCCCCCGCAGTTTGCGTGAGCCCGAGAACAAGGAGCACCGCTCTCATCCAGGCTGGAAGAAGCAGGGTCACCCGGAAGGGTCAGGCGGGGCACAGATGGCCTTCTGAAGTTTGGTCTGTCCACCATGGTTCCTTTGCAGGGACAACGATTCCATGACAAGGAGCAGCCCCTATTGCCCCTGCTTCTTTTATGTCCTGAGTGGCTGCAGATGTAGCCCCCACCCCCAGAAGCAAAGGGAGATTCTAGTGTCTTCTCCCCTGGGGTCTTTTGAAGGCTGCCGATTCTTTCAAACTCCCCTCCTGGGCTATAACGTGTGGCCCCTGCTTTATACTCTGTACCCACTGAGCAGAGCACGGATAATCTGAGCCATTGCCCTTTGGCTTTTTTTTTTTTTTTTTTTAAGATTTTTATTTACTTATGACAGAGAGAGATAGCAAGAGAGGGAACACAAGCAAGGAGAGCTGGAGAGGGAGAAGCAGGCTTCCCGCTGAGCCGGGAGCCCGAAGCGGAGCTTGATCCCAGGACCCCAGGATCATGACCTGAGCCAAAGGCAGACACTTCGTGACTGAGCCCTCCAGGCGCCCCACCTTTTGGCTTTAGAGTTGGTTCTCAAACAGGGAGACAGGAGGAGCAGAACTAGCTCCCTGATGGGCTTGGCTCGGGTGAAATAGGAATTTGGGCTTGCCTTCGTAGTCAGAGGCTGGGACGCCCTAGGGTAGAAGCTGCAGCTGACTCGATTTTAAAGCAATCGGAGTCCCCACCGGCTGCTGCAGAGGACAGAATCTCCCAGTGGCTGCTTGGGTACGGGTCACTTACAGCCATGACTCTCAGCCTTGGTTGGCTCAAAGTACTAATGTCAGGAGCCTGCCCCCTCCAGCTTCACCTATGGCTCTGGCCTGGGACTCTGCATTTTATCCGACTTCCCAGCCAGTTCTGCCACCTAGCCAGGGGGACATGGAGGTGTGGTTATGGGACTGGGCCAGGGACCAGGGCCCTGAGGTTCTCGCCTGGAGCCCGGAGTCCACTGTGTTCCTCCTTGTTGCCTCTGCTTCTGCCCCCGCCCCATACTGCCCACAGCTTCCACTGGACTCGAAACAGCCGGTATTTCAACATCGCCAAGGACCCTCGAGTGTCAATGAGGAGGCGGTCTGGGACCCTCGTGATCGACTTCCGCAGCGGGGGCCGGCCCGAGGAGTATGAGGGGGAATACCAGTGCTTCGCCCGCAACAAATATGGCACGGCCCTGTCCAACAGGATCCGCCTGCAGGTGTCCAGTGAGTAGCTAGCGCGCTTGCTAGCGTGCCTTGCTCCTCGGCGCATGGACGGGGGGTGGGGCATGGAGGGTCATTCCAGAAGGGCCATCCCTACCCTTGGCCAATGGGTGCCTTGGTGCTCTGCTCATCCTGCCTCCTGTTCTGCCTCCGAGCAGGAGCACACCTTGCCCTCCTCAAAAAGATTGCTTGGAAACGAGGCTTCTGAGCCAGAGTCTTGAACAACTTCACGAGCATTCTGGGCACGGGAGGAGAGGAAGGAGAGGAGCCTTTGGAGAAGTGTATCTATTTAGACTGAAGTCCTCTCCTCTCTTGCTGCACCTGGCCTAGACTCACGGGCCCTCTCCACCCACTCCCTTGTTCTCCCGTTTGCCCTTCTGCTTTTCCTCCTTGTACGCCTGCCCCTAGCCGAGCTCCTTGTCCTGGCTCCCGCCATAACCCTCACTTCATGCTCCTTTGTCTGATTCCCCCCAGAGTCTCCCCTGTGGCCCAAGGAAAACCTAGACCCTGTCGTGGTTCAAGAAGGCGCTCCCTTGACGCTCCAGTGCAACCCCCCGCCCGGACTTCCATCCCCAGTCATCTTCTGGATGAGCAGCTGTAAGTTTTGGAGGCCTGCCATTTGATTTCTACTTTTATCTTAGAGAGTGGGGTGGGTGTCTTACATGGGAGGGGCTTGCCCAAGGTTGGGAGACCTTGACTTATGAGAAGCAGGTGTAAAGGTACTACATGGCGGAAAACACATCAAGAGGCTGCTCAGGCCCATTTCCTAGCCCAGATACTATCGGCTGTGTGATCTTGAGCAAGTTGCTTAACAACCCTGGGCCTCAGTTTGCTCTTCTGGGGAAAAAAAAAAAAAATAGAGCTAGAACCTGTACTTATGTGGTAGATCATTTTAAGGATAAATGAGTTAATACATCCAAAGAACTTATAACACAACCAGACACAGTAAGTGCTGAGTAGTATTTGTGAAGATGAAGGAGAACAAGAACAAAGGAAAGAGGAGGAAGAGGAGAAACTGTCAATAAGCCAACTCAGGCGGATTGGCCCCAAGCCTCCTTTCAGTCTTTAGTCAGTCTGGATTTACTGAGGACAGGGAGGCCACAGGAATGAAACCTTTGATAAAGGAGTGACAGGGAGACAGGACATTTGTAGCAGGGGCAGTGTATCATCCCTGAGAGCTTGTCCCATTTCATTTTGCACTGAGATTCATTTAACCACTGTGGACCTCAGTTTCTTCCCATGCTTTGAATCACAGTAAGTGAGGGCATGCTATAAAGGTGTTTAGAGCATTGCTGGCTATCTGTCTTCCTGGCTTCCCCTCTCCATCCTCCATACCTGCCTACCCACCCACCCCCAATGCCTTCTATCCATCCATCCATTGGTCAGTTTATAGATCTGCCTGCCTGCTTAGCATCCATCATCCATCCATCCATCCCCGAGTTTTTACCAGCTTGCTTCCGGAAAAAGCAGGGTAGTGAGCTGTTTGGCAGAGAGAGTATGGCTTCATGCTCACCCGTTGTCTCACTCTGTGTCATCTCAGTGCATGTGCGTGGGGAATGCTGCCTGGCCACAGGCTGGAGGGCCGGTTGGTTTGCTAACTGGTTCAGAGTCTCTCGTTCCCTGCATCACACCTGTCACCAGCTTATGTCCATAAGTAGATCCTGAGTGGATCTCATGACCCTCATCTTTCCATCATCACTGGCATCTGCCCAATGCAGGCCACCATCAGCTTTTCCCTGGGTGCCAGTAACCAGGGACTATAACTGGCCTCCCTGGTCTTTCTAAAAACATAAATCTGATTGTTTCATTCATATGCTCCCGCCCTTTACTGGCTCCTCCATCACCTCGGACCAAGTCCAAACTTATTTCCCTTCCTGATCTAGTTCCCTCCGCCTCTTGAGCCTTTCTCCTACCTCCTTTCCCGGCTGTGTGCTCTTAATTTTTAGCACGCACTGTTCTTACTGCTTGGAAACCTCTTTGGGCCCCTGTCTCTTCTGCCTGGTGTCACGAAGCCTCCAAGGTGGAGCTCAGGGCCCCCTGGCAGGGACTCGGGGCTCCTCCGCTCAGCCCATCCCCTTTCTTATCCGGGCTCCCCACTTGCCACACTGCACAGCAGTGATTTCTTTATCTCCTGCCTCTTCTAGGCTGCAGGCTCCCTGAGGGCAGGAGCTATCTAACTAAAGTCTCTTTCACCAATCATGGGCACAGTGCCTGGCACACAGTAGGCCTGCAGCCAATTTTGGATAATAAGTCATTTAAAGAACTGACCATCCCCTTGTTGGAAAGTTGGCATCACTAACCTTGTGCTTTCAGAAATGATGACATACATGATCCCAGGGTCCTGGGATCGAGCCCCACATCGGGCTCTCTGCTTGGCGGGGAGCCTGCTTCCACCTCTCTCTCTGCCTACTTGTGATCTCTGCCTGTCAAATAAATAATAAATAAAATCTTTTAAAAAAAGAAAGAAAAGAAATGATGACTTAATAAAAGGTCGTGGGAGGCTGAGAAGGCATTAGCTGTGAATCATCAGCCTGACAAATACACTTTCACAAACTGAGTAACCGGCAGACCCAGTCATTTGAATTGACACCTATTGCTTCAACAGTCATGGACAATGTAGTCCACTTCCTCAGCCACTCCTGTGACATCATTGATTCTAAAAAGCACCACTTTCATCTTTTAACATCTCCAAAATTAGAAAGCATCCTAGAATCATTGATTAGTAGTAGGTATCTTGCAGTTGTAATTGGCAGTGATTTTCTCTTTCCTGGTGGGAGTGAGAGCTTTAAAAAAAAGAAAACAAGTGAACTTGACTCCTGATTTGGGAAGCACCTGAAAGATAGCATTTCCTTCCTCCCTCTGGTTTGGGGCCAGTCAGAGCTTTTGCGGCGTGGATGGGAGCTAGAAAAGTCTGGTCACGGACCATGAGTGTGGCAGGCAGACGTCTTCCCTCACTGCTTTCACAACCCAGGAGGTGTGAAGTCCACTGCTTTCTTATCTGTGAACTGGAGAGAAGCCCCCCTCAGAGTTGAGAGGACGAGAGGGAATCACGTTGAACTCCCAGCACCACCCGACACTCTGTCGGAGCTCCATCGCCAGACCGATCGCAACGGTCACTCCTGTTACCATGACCACTCACCTCTGTCCGTACCTCTGCTCCCTTCCAGCCATGGAGCCCATCACCCAAGACAAGCGTGTCTCCCAGGGCCACAACGGCGACCTGTATTTCTCTAACGTGATGCTCCAGGACATGCAGACGGACTACAGCTGCAACGCACGTTTCCACTTCACCCACACCATCCAGCAGAAGAACGCCTTCACCCTCAAGGTCCTCACCAGTAAGTGCAGGTCCCTGCCCGGGGCTGGGAGCCGGGGCGGAAGCCCTCGGACCCCGAGGAGCCCCGGGTACCTGGGTCTGGGGGCAGCCTTGTCCCCAAAGCTGACCCAGAAACCCCTCCAGCATGGGGTGCCTGAGCTGTTTCCGTGACTCTGAAACCAACTTGCTTGATTCTGAAGCCTTGAGTTAAACTTTCTCCTGCTCTGAGTCAGTGCTTCTCAAGCTGCAGGCTCAGTCCGAATCACCAGGCCAACGGGGCAGCCATCCCCAGCCTGGCCCGAGTCTGCCTCCACAGTCCCGGCCTCCGTGTCCTCCATTAGCTCTCCAGGTGCTCGGGACCCACAGCAGCATCCAAGGAGCCCTGCTTTCAGTGGTCACCCAACATCTCTCCTATGCCCTCAGCTTGAGGATTTCTTTTCTAGCTAGTCCCCGTTTGGTGGTCTGTACTTCTAGAAATAGAGCCACAATACAGAATTTCCGCATTGGCTGGGACCCCAGCATGAAATGTGTTCGATGCCGGACCCCATGGGACGACTCCATTTGCAAGCTGCAGATTAATGTTCTAGTTTTACTTGTTTTCATTTTTATTTCTGGATTCTGTTTGGCTGGTACTGAAGCGGGTCAGCCCTGCCTGACCCAGGATAGCGTGGGGCCGGTGGCCCTCCGCAGAGGAGAGAACCGAGTAGTCAGCTCCCAGACACGCATCTTGCCAGGGACCCACCGGCCTGGCTCTCTGGCTGCCCGTCCTCTGCCTGCCAGGACATTGCATCCCAAGTGGCTGTGATCGTTTGCACCGCGGATGTGTAACAGGCCTTCTCTTGAGGAGCCCCCTCACCCCCCAAAGACCTTGGTCTGTGTGACTCAGCTGTGGAGGCTGTTTTCCATACTGGGGACAGTGGTACTTGTGGGGGAAGCCAAGCAAAGGGCACCATGTGGGCGCTGACAGCTGCCCCAGGTCGCAGAAGAGAACCTGAACCTCAGGTTCTCCGCACCCACACGCCTCTCGGGGGAAGGTGGGGAGAGTCTAGGGGACCTTGCTCCTTGCTCAGGACAGCGGGGGGCCTGGTCTTCTTTCCTCAGCTGCCCCTGCCAGTAATGGAAGCAGGTGCCTAGAACCCCAGCTCCACACCCCGTCTCTACCCGGCACGGAGGTGGGCCCCCAAGAGGCAGCTTCCTTCTTGTTCCCCTTCTCCTGTGCGGGAGTCCTTTCTCTCCTTCTCATTGTCTTCTCTTTGTTTTCTCACTTCCTTCCTCTCTGTTTCCCTCCTGCCTTCTTCCTTTCTTCTTTCCACCCCTCGTTTTCTCCCTCTCAGAACCCCGTCTACCCCCCTCCAGCACCCCCACTCCTGCAGCTCCCCACACACTGTTCTGTGTTGGAGTCGGGCTGCCCACAATTTGCTAACCGACAGGATGGCCGGAAACCTGGGGACGAGCCCCCATGTGCTCCCAGCAGCAGACCCCGGCCCAGTCTACTTGGCTGCCCCCTTGCTGGCCTTCTTATTCCAGACCAAGACCTTGAGGGGACCCCTGGGGAAGAAAGTTGGGTTGCCTGAAGCGTCTCAGTGCACATCAAGCGCAATTGCTGGCCAGCTGGCTGGGCCGTGGAGGACAGTGTGGTGCGCCTGGGACCTCTGAGTGGGCTCCGGGGCCAGGACAGGGCTGGCAGCATGGGGAGGGGAAGGTGGCAGGTGCGTTGAGCAAGATGCTGAATGCTGGACGGTCCTTAGTGCCGTCCCCTGGCTTCCTCTCTGCCTGCCCAGTGTGAGGCTTATAGTCAGACTCCTTTCTGGGGACTGAACCAGGTGACCTTCTGCAGTCCTGGGCAGAGGCCCTCAAGGTCACCCAGGATAGAGGCAGGGGGAGTTGGAGGTGGTAAAAAGCCTTCCTCTGTGGAATTAGGCAGTTAGAGATTTTCAGCATTTAGAAGTCGGGTTTTCCAGAAACATCCTTATCTCTACCTGCAGAGGTAAGGGCTGTTCATTTCTGGGTGCCCTACTCCATTGAGAACTCTTTCCTACAAATGCCAAGACACCCCCCCCCACCCCGCCCCAGGTGATGGGAATAGAGCCCTGTCTGCTTCCTGGAGTTCTCCCAGGGGTAGCTTTGGCCGGGAGCAAGTTCTGGGCATCTGAGCCAGCCCAGAATTGGGTACAGTTGCTTAAAATAGCACAGTTGTGCTCTGTCTGCTTTCCTGCCTGGAGAGGACACAGGCTCTTTCTTATACCTTCAGAACCGGGTCTGGGGGTGGGAGGCAGAACAGCCAAGCTTGGCTGGCTTCAATGTCCCTCCTCACCTCGGGTTTCCATCACAGTCTGGCCCTTGGGGGAAGATGCCAGTCTCAGCGTGGCTGATGGTGCCTTACCTACATATAAGGAATGGCAGAGGGGAAGATATCTAACACAAAACATTGGGCGGTCTGAAACCATTTTTAAAATTTGTTTTGGGTGCAATCAAAGACAGTGGAGGTGATGTGCCCGCCCCGCTTTGCCCGCCCCAGAGCAGGTCTCTTTGGTGACCGTGGTGAGGGAGAAGGGGTCTCCTGAGGCAGACCGTGGAGCACTAACCCTGCTTCCTCCTAATGTCTGCTGTCTAAGTAGCACTCTCAGGAGTCAGAAAATCTCCCTGGATTGCCCAGATGAGCTGCAGAATCCACAGACCGTGAGATCAGTTACAAGCTTGGGTCACTTCTCTGGAAAGAGAGGAGTTCTGTTTCCCTCGGTGGCATGGGAGCTTAGGAGCATGAAGCCAGGGTCTTTTTAGCTGTGTGCCCCTATCCTGCCCCCCCAGAGAAGAATGTCCCTTCTTGAGTACATCCTCAGCCCCTCTTCTCTTCTCCCCCCCTGCCTCTCCACACCACTGCCCCGAACAAACCCAAGCTGACTTCCTACACAGGCTCGGTCTTGCAACACACGCCATCTTAAGGGATGGTTCTGAATAATACAAGTCTCCCTAGTGGGCTTTAAGCACATTTGGGAAGCCCTGCGATATGGGTCCCAGCAAAGAGGGCGCACAGCCTCGGCGATCAGTTATAAGGGGAGCTGATCTGTCTTCAAATATGCAAATACTCTGGCACAGAGCCTCGCCTCCCTCAGGCGCTTGCTTGGACTGGATCTGGCTTCTCAGGGCCGTCTGCTTGGCTTCCAGTCCACTGTACCGCCCCCCACCCCCTGTGGGTACCGTCAAAACTTGAACCCAGTAGCTGGATGGGGATGACGGTAGAAGAATGAAAAGCTGAGCTTGGCAGGCTTAAGTGCCCTATTCCAAAACCTCTTTCACTGAGGATTAAATGCCCAGCAGTCTTAATTACCTGACATTGGCACCAAAGGCACCGGTCTGCTCCCTAAGGAATGACTTCAGCCCAAGCCAGTCTAGGAGCTCCACATCTCCAGCTTCGTCCGTAGTCCCTTCCCATCCAAGTGTAGAATGCTGAGCCCATACACTCTCTCTCACCCGTCCCAGGCAGGGTCCCCTTCTGTTCTGAAAATCTGACCCACAGTCTGCCCCTGTCTGCCTCCCTAGAACTAATTCCAGGACTCCTTGGGAGGAGGGCTTCCTGCCTCCAGAGACATCTCAGAGACCAGGGTGGTACCCAGTGCTCAGGTGGGGAGGGGTGCTTGCTGCTGGTCAGCCCACGATTGCTGGGCACTGCCAAGGGTCCATCTGTCCCTGTGTCTCAGCTGCTGAACTATATCTGTTGGTTTGTCTGCTCTCACTGACCTCCAACCTTTGCACCTTAGCTTCGCCCAGGGAGGGCTTTGCTCTTTCCCTCAGGGCTCACTCACACTCCTTTCTCTTTAGCTGCCCCGGGAGCTGGCCCGATCCAGAGTCCTGGAAACTGAGGATTCTGATGGGAAGTTGTTCAAAAGACGGCTGCGGGATACCATTAATCCTTATCTCATTTGTTTGAAATACAGTAGGATCAAGCCATTACAGGTCAAGCCTAATTTCTTTCATTAAAAAGAAGATTTTTTTTTTATTATTGCCTTCTTTTGCAGGATTTAACCTTTTCTTCTCTTTTTTGGGGCTGTTTTATGTTGCTTGTTTTTCACCAAGCATATTTCCTTTCCAAATACACCGTGTCTTTCCTTTGCAAAATCCCCGGTTGTTTTCTGCAGCTTCGCGTTTCTGTTGTTCTCTCCCTGTTTATGCCTCCGTGAGCTCTCCGTGGCCTGTTTGCTCACCCTCTTCTGTTTATTGCAGACAACCCCTATAATGACTCGTCCTTAAGAAACCACCCTGACATGTATAGTGGTGAGTCGCCGCGGTAACCTTGGGAGTAACCTTGCCTGTCCTAACCCCAGTTTGCCTAACTCGACTGATACCGTGTCATTAACCCACGCTGGGTGGAGGGCCTGACAGTCAGCCACGCCAGGGTGCCAAGGGGCCCCCTTCCGGACACCACTCTCCGGGAGGACCGTGGCCAGTGCGGGAGTCTGAGGTAGCTCTCGAGGAGCTGTGGCTTCCAGGAATGCATAAGCCGCCAGGGGCTGAAATCTGGATCAGGTTGGTCGGACCAGGGTAGGACTCCAAAAGAGCTTCTTGGAAGGTTCTGTGTTGGGTGGAGGGAGCGTGTCGGAGGAGAGGGGAGTCTGCACAGTGAGGAGGAAACAGGGAATCTGGTGCCTGTTAGCAGTTTAAAGGATGCAGAAAGCTTTGTGATAGAGTGTCTGGATGGGATTTGCCTGCCTTGCATCTAGCCTTAGTTACTGGGGGCACCATTTCACCCCATGTCTCTTTAAAAATCCCTCTGGGAAAAATGAGCGAGAGTCCAGCTCTGAGTTCTCTTTGAAGGTAAGTATAAAAGGAGGTGGGCCATGCCTGGTCTCTGTTCCCTGGGCTGCTTCTGTCCTCCGGCAGCGTGTGCAAATCCAGGACCCACCAGTCCGCACACTTGCACGTCCCGGAAGAGTTTCCATGAGCCGTATTTCTAACTTATCACACAACTGGTTGCTCAAGCTGATTAGTAGAGTAATTGGCTATTTCCACACCTGAGCCCCCGCCCCCCTCCACCACCACCACCACGGCTCAAGAATGTCTTGTTTTCCTTGTGCAGCCAGAGGGAACAGTCGTTTGCTGGCTTTGGCAAGGCAGCTGGCCCCCCTCATCAGTTATGCCTCGGAAGCTGAGGCTGCAGGTCCCCAGGACGGTCATTGTGGCCTCCAATGGGTAGGAAGTGTCTGCATTGTGATGTGCTAATATAAACAATGATCAGTGGGGGAGGGGAAGAAGGAGGGAGAGCCCCGGAGCAAGGCAAAGGCTCTAACTTGGCATCAAGCAGCTAGAGCCACACTGAGATTCTGCCAAGGAGATTTACTGCCCAAGGAAGCAGGAGATCTTTGTTGGATTCAGGACACTGTTTGTTTTCAAAATAATGGGGCCAACCAGCTTTGTGTCTAGAGCCCCAGAGCACTGGTATGGAATGTGCCTGTCTCTAAATTGGATTTCAGGTGATCTGTTATGGAAGTACTCTTGAAGCTAGAGTATGTCAGAGCCAGAAGGTCCCTTAGAGACCATCTGGTCCAAGCACCTCGCTTTGTGTTGGATAAACCATGCAGGGGAACACGCATGCAGAATTATTTTCTCAGCAGGATAAATTTGAGTGATTCCAGCCACTTAAACTTTGTGGCCAGTGGTAGATGTGATTATGAGTGAATAGGTGGGAGTTCTAAGAGCCACCCAGGGCTAGGACACCCAGCAAAGCTCGTAAGAACGCACTTGGAGATCAACCCCTTCTCCTCAATCCAGGGTAGAATGAATGGGGCTGACCCAAGCATGAAGCTAGCTGGAAGAGACACAAAGTCAAAGTGAGACACATGCTGAGCAAAGGACAGCTAGGTCGAATGCTTCTAGAAAGAAACACAAAGTGAAAAGGAAGAAAGATAAGGTCCTTCCTGAGTACAGGGCGGAACATAGAGACACAGGACAGTGACAAGTGCCCAGTGCATCTGTCTGCTTAGCTTTGAAACATGGCACATCTCTTAAAGGGGTAGGGCCACCCTACGAACTACATTTTGTTCTAGTGATTTCTACAGTGGTTTGGTATCCTTCGAACCTACGCCAGATGGCCCCCGACCCACTGAGTGGCGAGGGAAGCTGGTCTGAGATGGCAGCTTGACACCTAGAATTCACCCAATGAGGAGACAAGGAAGAGAAGAGTGGGCACTCTGAGGTAGACAGCCTCGAATTAAATGCAGGCTCCTGAGTGACCTTGGGTGAGTTATTTAGTGTGTGGAAAACCTTAATGTCCTCATCTGTAAAGTAGGTATACAGCGTGCCTCCCAAGACTGCTGTGAACAGTGACCAGGGTGACATGCGTCTGGTCGCTAGCATGGCGTCAGACACGTCAGTGATGAGTACGTGTTCCCCCAGTATTGGTATTGAAGGATTGAATGTGTTAGTGCTGACTGAGGTCAAGATGGGCATAGAGAAGTTGAAGAGAAGCCAAGGGCAAGAAGCCAATCAGCAAGGACGATTATGGGAAGAAAGTACTGCAGAGGGAGGGACTTGAGGGCAGACTAGAAAAGTGAAAGTTATTCACATCCTCAGCCCTGCTTGAGACCTCCATCAGAAAAAAGCCCCAACTCTCAAGTGAGGGGTTGAGGTCAGACTTAGGAAGAGATTTCCTGACGGTGGAAGGTATCAAATGTCACTAGACAGAGAGTTTTTCTTGTCTTCTGGGATTGTTTCGTCAACCATTCCTGGAGCCAGAGCTGGATGAAATGCCACAAAGCCAACCCCACAAGCTCTTAATCCTGGGAATCAAAAGCAGCGAATGTGGGATCCAGTTGTCCCTAAAAGCTGTTTTTGCCAAAAGTTCTCAGCTACATCTGATGCATTGGGCTCTCTTCTGCTAACCCACAGCACTTAACAGAAGGGAGCAACTCAGGTTTTCAGCAGTCTTGACCCTTCCTCTTGTAGGAATCGATGAAGACATTTTTTCATTGGCCCTTTAAAGCCAAGGTGGGTGAGGCAGTGTCATCTCTTGATGTCTCCCTGGTGACCAGATCCCCCTGGAAACCCATGCTCCCACTCCTGAGCCAGGGAGAACAGGAAAGGACGGACTGTCCTTAGGCTAGAGGTCAGAAGGGCCCTTGTGGGAAGATCTTCCTGAACCCACCAATGTGAGTTTTGGCATCTGGATTTTGAGTTTTATCCGACATTAGGTCCAACCCCAGCCCTGAAGATCAGGGAGAATAAGAGAAGCATTATCAAGCTCGTCAGGCTGAATTTCCACCTCTAAGAGGGTAGGTGACATCCTGTGACCCTGGGAGACTGTCATCCTCCACCGTGTAGAGGCCTAGAGAGTAATCACCTTTGTCTTGGAGAGTCTTTCTGGGTCTCCTTCCCCAGGGAAAGAAACTAGCCACCTTCCCTTGGGAGCAGTGGCCCCAAAAGCCACCAGCTGGATTGTCCTCCAACAGTTTTCATGTAATTCCCTCCAGCTGCTGTTGACCACATTTTTCATAACCCCCACTTCAGGTCCAGCTTCTCATCCCATAATGACACCACGTGTCACCCTGACTCCTCTTCAAGTTTTCCATGGCCTTAAGAATCCACTTGAGAATACTCTGGGGCCTCTTAATTCCTAGCCCAGCTTCTTTCTCCAGCTCGGGCCTGAGTTTATCTGATGGCCACCAAGGAGGGACGGAGTCTTACTGAGCAGAAGAGGTTCACCAGAGCAGCTCACCAAGACACTAAATCTTTTCCCCTTCACCTCTTTTGCCCTTGGGTTTGGGTTTTCTTTGGTTTGATACTCCCAAAGCTGGCTGTCCGAAGGAGGGACAGATGGGCTAACCATCTCTAAGGAGGCAAGCTTGGAGAGCTCTCAGGACATGCTTTGGTGCCAAATGGTCCAGAATCCAAAACATAAGTGGCTTGTGACCTTGCCAAGTCTATGGATTTCCTTGAGCCTCAGTTCCCTCTGCTGAAAATGGTGGTGGCACCCCCACACACCTCCCCCCCGGATTGTTGTGAGGAGTAAGCGTGACTCTGACGCCTAGAGAGAGCTATTAGCGCAGGCTTGGCCCCTCGGGCTTATACCAAACGCTGGCCCTGATTAGTGCCTCTGACTTTTAGGATGTTCTTCCCTCTATTTTTGAACTTTGGCTTGTTTCCCAGTAGCTTCTCTTCCTTTGGGATAATTCTATGGTTGCTAGCCCACACCCTACCAGTACAGCATGGCTGTAACCTTTTCATAGTCATGGCTATAGCACGTCAAGGCCCCCACAGTGAGACTCGGCTCGTTTCTCCGCCTGCTCTGCTGGCTAAGTGTGCTCGTGCTATGGTGTGAATTAAATGTCTACGGGGTCGCAGGCTGGCTTCTGCCAAGTTTGTCCCTGTGTGGAAGGAGTATGCCAACCAAGCTGGGGCCCCCTCCACGTCGTCCCAGCTTCCCAGCAACGGACAGCCTCACCAGAGCCTCCTGCCCTGAAATAGCCTTCTCCTCACAGTTCCCTTGACCTTGTGTTATCTGGACTGTTTGGGGGAATTCCATGATAACGGGTGGGAGGAAGCTGCTGCTTTGGTATCCGGCTTCCTTGGTCCTGAGAGCTGGCTGCTACGAGGGTCATAGATGGTAACCGATTAACGGCGTAATGGATTAACCCGGTCAGTAGCCACTGTTGTATATGTGTGTGCTGGTGGGACATGTGAGGACATCTGCACGAGTAATAACACGTGGGGTACACGGTTGCCTTCTTTTTTGTTCCCTTCTCCCTTTGCATTCATTCATCCCACCAACACCTACTGAACGCTTGCTCTATGTGCCATGCATTGTGCCAGCCGCCTCACTAACTGCACCTGTCTCATCAATTCTTCCCCTGACAAAAGCATAAAGTAGACCCCAGCTCTTTGAAGCACACTCTGCAATGGCTAGTGGAGAGAAGCTGAGTGCCTCTAAGACAGGAGCCTTGCGGATCCAGCCAGGCACCAGCCTGTCCAACGAGCTCCTGTAGGGGACATCAGTTTCCCTGTCACTCTGTCTTCATGGCCTGAACCCCTTAACAGCCCCCAGCTGGGAAGATGCCTTTGTCCCCACTCCAGGCATCTCTGATGGCTTCCAGCTCCTGGCAGCTCTTCCTGTCTTCCTCCTCTCGCTTCTCCAACTGAGCGTAAGACCCACTGCACCACTGGGTGGGCTCAGCTTCTAGAGTTAACTCTTCGTGTTTATAACCCTACACCTTTGGGCAGGGGTGTGTCCTCCAGCTTCCCCTTGCTTTGGGGTTCCTGGCTGGAAAACCTTTGTTCTCCTCCCTTCCGTCTTACCCGTGTCCATTGAACTGTGCAAAAGCTCCCCAGGACAGGTGGGGTGCAGGTAAGGTGGGGTCCAGACTCGCATGTCCCCATCCACAGCCAAACAGCCATCCCGGCCATGTCAATCTCTGGGAGCCACCCGGCCTCCAAACCCCACGTGCACGTCACTGTCAGCGGACGTGGCTGTTCCAGCCTAGTTGAATTGCAGATCCCCTCCTCCATCTTGGCTGCCACTTTCCACTCCCCCTCCCCCAGTCTCTCACATCCAATTAACACCCCCCCGCCCCCTCCCAGAGTCATTAGTGAAGAAGCAGAATGGTCTTGGCCCCAGAGTGATTTCTTGTCATCTCTGCTCATTCATTCTCTCCACGTCTCTGCTAAACCAGACTGTTCATCCGGGTCTCTGTGGGCTCATCCCAGCTCCTTGTCTCCAGGGTCCCAGAGAGCAGGTTGTCTGTCCTGTGGCCCCAGTACGTGCCTTCTCATTCATCCCCTGCTGCTGAGACGGCCTCCCGGGGGGGCCACCACATTGGTCTCTGGGGTCCTAATGCAAGATGCTCAGGGGGTAGACGGCTCACTGCTCAGGCAACCCCCTCCTCCTTGCCCAGGAAGGCAGGGTTTACTGAACTGGGGAGGAAGCTGGACTCCTCTTGGCAGATCCTTTCAGAACTTGAGATGCTCACACACATGTGCCAGTGGGGCCGGGGAGCCCTGCGCTTCCTAACACACCTCTCTTAATGATGCGATGCCCCGGCCCTTGTGGGGGGTGGGGTTCAGCTGGGAGGGTCTGGGGCTTGGTGCCTCTGAGGGTAACAGGGTAAGTAGGGGGCGTGATGACACTTCTTCCTAGCCTGACCGCTTGGGCCTTGTGAGTCCGCTCTGGGCAGGAGGCTCATGACAGCATCTTCTATCCTATTTCAGCGCGAGGAGTTGCAGAAAGGACACCCAGCTTCATGTACCCCCAGGGCACGGCGAGCAGTCAGATGGTGCTGCGCGGCATGGATCTCCTGCTGGAGTGCATCGCCTCCGGGGTGTACGTACAGCCCGCACCCCCCACTCTGGTCCCTCTCCAGGAGGACGGGGCGTGGGAATTAGCGCAGGGGCTCTTCTTGCCGAGTCTGAGGGGGCGTAAAGAGGCCCAGACAGCCCCTAGCCGGGCTTTTGCAAAGCATCATTATTCCCATCCCTTTCTGGCTGTCTTCTTTATGGGTAATGGGCGAGGAAAGGAGACGGGGTAATGTCCTGCATGTGTGTTCACACCCGTGTGACTTCCCAGCAGCGCCTCGGTGCTCTGTGGCCGAGCACCCCCTCTGTACAGGAGAGGTGTGCTCTCAGGGGACCGACCATCCTCCTGAGCGTCTGTACACTTCAAGGATGCCTGGGTGTCCCGGGCTCGGTGGACGAGCAGCAGGCCCACGGCTGGGGGTAACCCCTGTGTCCTGCTCGCTTCCTCTCCCAGCCCAACACCAGACATCGCGTGGTACAAGAAGGGTGGGGACCTCCCCTCTGACAAGGCCAAGTTTGAGAACTTTAACAAGGCTCTGCGCATCACCAACGTCTCCGAGGAAGACTCCGGGGAGTATTTCTGCCTGGCCTCCAACAAGATGGGCAGCACCCGGCACACGATCTCGGTGAGAGTAAAGGGTACGTTGTGTGTATTTCTCATTATGATGATTTGCCAGCCCTACACACCACAGCCCACCTTTCCTTCCGCGGGGAGGAGGGGGTGGGGGGAGTAGGAGAGACCTGATGACACACTGGCTAGTGGCAATAGTGATCTGCCAGGGACAGCGTCACCCGCCGGATGTGAGAGTGTATGTGTGTACATAGTGGGTATATGTGGGGTGTGTGTGTGTGTGTGTACACAGTGGGTATGAGGGGAAGGAGCTGCACCCTGACCATCCCCCACCTCTCTGTGTTGCCTGGGGCTCCCCCCACAGGTGAATGTACCCCCATGGGCCATTTGGATTTCACACAGCCCGATTTCTTTCTTACATTTTGCATTCCCGTTCACGGTGTGTCGTCTTAGCCCTGTGCTGTCTGTGTACTTGTGCATGGTTTTTTTCTTAAAAGTGGGGAGTTATCAGAACACAAATCATTTTTTTAAAAATCGCTTCCCTCCCTCCATGGTGCCGATGGCCCATCTGACCTGTGGTGGGCAATACAGCACGTGCCTTTATGGGTCCCGGCCTTGGGTGATGGGGTACACCAGTCCCTGTCAGCCTGGCGCTGACGGGATGATGGTCTGATACTGAGAGTGCAAGAACTTGGGAAGCCCTCACTCAGCTGACCTGATGACTTTGGTTTCAGCGCTACGCTTAGACCAGGGGTTCTTAACCTTTTGGGGGGTATCAAGATCTTTGAGAATCTGATCGATCCACAGGAACTTCTCAGGAAAAAAAATCCCCATCTCCACATATTCCCAGTCGGAAGGGACAGCCAGTCTGCTCTAACCAAAGCCTGATGCCTGAGGTCTTTTCTAAATGGTCTGATGTCATAGCAATAGCCCCAGGATCCCGAGGGGCCAGTCCCGGGCTTGCTTTACTAACTGCCCTGATGTCGCCCTCGGGTGCTCATCGTGAACACCTGTGGGGCTCTAAAAGCATCCACTGCCCCAGCCTCCCCTGAGAATTCAGACTTAGTAAGTCTAAGTTGGGCCCCAGTGCCCATGTTTGTTCAGAGCTCTTCAGAGGACTCTAACGGGTGGCCCCAGTTTAGAACTATTGTTCTGTGAACCCGAAATAGAGTGGGAAGCATCCGCGGTGCCAAGCCCACCAAAGGCAAGCTGGACTGAGTCGTCCCATGAGGATGAACCCCCGGGCAGGTGGTGAGGGCCTGGAGCTGGCTCTTGGAGGCTCCTGCCTTCTTAGTGGGAGCCGGTCGGTGTCTCCTGCCTGCCCCCAGTCATCTAACGCCGCGGCCTGCGCTCCGCTTGTCTTCCAGCTGCTCCCTACTGGCTGGACGAACCCAAGAACCTTATCCTGGCTCCTGGCGAGGATGGGAGGCTGGTGTGTCGAGCCAATGGGAACCCCAAGCCCACTGTCCAGTGGATGATAAATGGGGAGCCTCTGCAGTGTAAGTAACAAGACGTTGTCCCACCTGACTCCGCTGGGCCTCCCGTCAGAGCCTCCAGGGCCCCATCCCTATGTGCCGGCCCTGGGTGTCCAGAAGGAAGTTAATGACTAGCCCCTTGGCCACTGCTTGGGGAGCATCCCAGCTCTCTGGGCATCTCAAGAGGCAGGAAACCTATGCTTATGTTCCCATATTTAGGGAGCATGAAACTCCCTTGGGTTTTTCTTGAATCTTGCTTTCTGCCCTAAACCACCACCCAGCCCAGTCTCCAGGTCTGCAGAGAGCCTCCCCTCTGAGTTGGGGAGGGGCATGGAAGGTAGAGCAGAGCTCAGTAAGCTGCTGTGTTTAGTTACCCAAGCCCCACTCTCTGCTGAGGGCAAACGGAGAGCCAGGCTGGATAGAAGGAAGAACTGCCCCCTGAGAGCAGAGAAGCACTGATGCATTTCCTGGGTGTGCCCAGATTTGGGGAAACTGAGTCCTGCCTGCTGGCTGGAGTAGGTGACTCCAGGGCCCCTTCCGGCCAGGGCTCTCGGTCAGGTTTTCCCATCATAGTCTCTCCAGTTGCATTTACTTTATAAAATGTCCTTGTGGGTCTCTGAGACTGCCGGACACCTGCACCATCTACTGCTGGGGGCAGAGCTCCCTCCCAGCCTATGGCCTTGCCCTGCGCAGGAGCAGAGATGCAGAGGTTGCCCGCCCTCTGCTGTTCTCCCTGTCCTGACAGCACTCTGGGAACAAGGCAGACGAAGGCAGCAGACTCCACAGCGCCACGGAATAAATGCAGAGCCCAGGACTTGCCACTGAGCCCTGGCCCTGGAAAGGTCACCTGTCACTTACAGGGAGCGGCTGAGAAGAAAGTTGGCTCCACGAGAGTTGCCAGGGAAGGAGGTGTTGAAGTTGCTGGCGTGGACTTCATGCCTTTGTGCTGAGTGGGGACTTGGGGGTGGGTGATAAGGATGCTGACCTGTCTTTATTTGCCTCCTGCTGATTCCCCAGTTCCGGGCTCAGACTTGCTGTCTGTGGAGGGGCGCCTCGGGGGCCAGACCCTGGGTGGTCCTCTCCCCACTGTGGCGATCGGTCTGAGCTATCCTGGATTCATTCACAGACTGTCCAAACCAAGTCACCTTGGCTCAGTCCAGAAACCCTACAGAGGAAAGTCACCTTCCCATGAAAGATGAGAAAAGTGGCGATTCCTTACATTTCTAGAAAACTTAATTTATACCGCTCATTATCATTTTTTTAGTAAAGCTCCTCAGAGTGGGAGAAGGATGGGAGTAATTCTCCAAAACTTGACAGATGAGGGAAATGAGGCCCAGATTTACTGATCTGTCCCAGTCCCAGATGGATGTGTGAACAGGACTGAGAGCCCGCGGCCACTCCCCAGCCTCTGCTCTCTACATCCCAGGCCAGCCGTGCTGGAAAAGCTGCAGGAGGAAATAGCTTCTCTCAGTTCAGGACACATTTCTTGGGACGATCAGGTAGCTTTGGCAAATTTAAGGACTCATTCAGTCTCGACAGCATCGGCTTATGGGTCTATGTGAACGTTTGAGGAATGCTCTGCTCTGAGGATGGGAAGGTGGTAGGTCTCATCCAGTTGTATATTCCTTTGTCCTTTTCAAAACCTTTAAGTATATGCAAAGGGTATTAAAATAATAACAACAATGGTAATCAGTGTGTGCTGGGCCTCTGCTGATGAGTTTTTTTTTTAAAGATTTTATTTATTTACTTGAGAGAGAGCAGGACAGAGAGGGAGCAGTGGGGAGGAGCAGAGGGAGAAGGAGAAGCAGGCTCCTTGCTCAGCAAGGAGCCCGATGCAGGGCTTGATCCCAAGGCCCAGAGATCATGACCCACGCCAAAGGCAGATGCTCAACTGACCGAGCCATCCAGGCGCCCCTGCTGATGACTTTAGACATGTAATAAAATCTCAGGTTACCCTCATAAGAACCCCGCAAGATGGCACGTCATCCCCATTCTGCACAGAAGGATGCTGGAGCTCAGAGGAGCTGATAACGCTGGAGGTGATGTGTCTGGAATGCAAACCCCTTTCTCTTTCTATGGCTTATGCTCTCAACCGCACCTGCCCAACTCTCAGCAGGTCCAGCAGGGACTCACAGTCCCATCAGACAAGCTGAGAAGGCAGCCCCGGTGGGTTCAACGATGGGCCCGAGGCCACACAGCCAGGCAGCAGTGGAGCCAGAAGCCGCGTCTCCTGGGGGCCACCCGGGGCTGCTGTTTCCACAGCACCCCAGTCCTCTTAGGGAGCCCTGGCCAGAGCCCCAAGGGCCCTCTACCCACCCTTCCCGTTTCTCACGAGGCGCGTCTTTCCTGTCCTCAGCGGCACCACCCAACCCAAACCGTGAGGTGGCCGGGGACACCATCATCTTCCGGGACACCCAGATCAGCAGCAGGGCGGTGTACCAGTGCAACACGTCCAACGAGCACGGCTACCTGCTGGCCAACGCCTTCGTCAGCGTGCTGGGTGAGCGCACCCCTTCCTTGCCCTTGGGGCAGCCTCCCTGGGGCTTGCTCCTGTCATGGGCCCACCTTCTGCTCTGAAGGTCAGCCCAGCTGGGTGGGATAGGAGGGCCTGGGATTGGAGGGAGCATGGAGACGGAAGATGAATTTGCCAGGGAGGATGGGGAACTTCAGATCCATGATGCTGGGCATGCAGATGGTCAATTCCTTGCTAGGATCATGTCTCCAGATGAAGGAGAGGGGCCTGTCTCACCCACTCCGAGTATCCAGGCCAACTCTGCCTGCATTCTCAGTGCCCCAGGGCAGGAGGTGGTTCTGAGTACTGGGGTCACTCCTAGATCAGGGAGAGGGCAGGGGCAACTAGGAGATGTGATGGGGTGGGGAGGGGCTATGTCAGTAGCTGCTGTATAATCTGGGGAGACCCTTTGCAAAAGCTGGATTGTACACAGGGTAGGTCGAGGGCAAAGGGATGAGCTTCCTCTTCCCTCCCCTAACCCTGGGAGGCTTCTTAAAGGAGGGAGGTTGATGGGGAAAGGATTGGGGGGTGGTAGGGAGGGCTCCTGGAATGCTGCTGCGCTGCTGGGGCACGTGGAAGACCTGGGTGGGTGGGGACCAGAGGAGGTACGTCCCCCTAGCCAAGGTCCGTTCTCCGGGAATTGCAGATGTGCCACCCCGGATGCTGTCACCCCGGAACCAGCTCATTAGGGTGATCCTGTACAACCGGACACGGCTGGACTGTCCGTTCTTTGGGTCCCCCATCCCCACACTCCGATGGTAAGTTCCAGGAGACCAGGCCACGCCCCCGGGGGTCCTCAGCCCAAAATTGGTATTCAGTGAGACCAGGCAACCTTATGGGGTCCGAATGGGGAGGAAGTTGACCGATCATTGAGGTCAGCCCCCCTTAATGTACAGAGATGGAAACTGAAGCTCAGAGAATGCCAGAGACTTGCCAGAGCCACCCAGCAGTGGGAGGGAGACCCCTGCCCGTGGGGCCGGCCCTCTCTCAGTGTGCTGTGTGTTCTGCTGCTCTGTCGTGAGGTTTAAGAACGGGCAGGGGAGTAACCTGGATGGTGGGAACTACCATGTCTATGAGAATGGCAGTCTGGAAATCAAGATGATCCGCAAAGAGGACCAAGGCATCTACACCTGTGTTGCCACCAACATCCTGGGCAAAGCTGAAAACCAGGTCCGCCTGGAGGTCAAAGGTAAAGGAGAGGTTGGTAGGGAGAGGGCAGGTTGGGGCAGCCAAGGAAGCCATTTCTTCAAAGTGATTCCCACACGCCATTGCCTTTGACAACTCACTGCTTGTCCTGTTGACTCCCTAATGGGGCCCTCCCTGTGGACCTCTGTGTCCTCGCAGGGCTTCCAGCTGGCCTGGGTGCTGGAAGGGCAGGGTCCTGTTCAGCCTGGTCCACGTGGGATTAGAAAGGGAAGCCTGGGGCACCTGGGTGGCTTAGGCATTAAGCATCTACCTTTGGCTCAGGTCATGATCCCAAGGTCCTGGGATCGAGCCCCATGTTGGGCACGCTGCTCGGTGGGGAGCCTCCTTCTCCCTCTCCCACCCCCTCTACTTGGGTTCCCTTTCTGGCTAGCTTTCTCTGTCAAATAAGTAAATAAAATCTTAAAAAAAAGGGGGGGGAAGAGTGAGACCCCCACCAACACCCCACTACCACCCCAGGAAACCATCACAGGTTTCCAAAGCAGAGAGAAAGGACTTATTTCCTCCTTGGAATCGTGCCCACCCCCCCCACACTGTTCATATAACTGAACGTTATTTCTGCCATCTTCCATGGTCCATCTAACCTTTTCATGCATGTCACGATGTGTGGCCACATGGGGTAGGGGGCAGAGGCCACGCCAGTGATGAGCTCCCTCGGCTTCCCCACAGACCCCACCAGGATCTTCCGGATGCCCGAGGACCAGGTGGCCAAACGGGGCACCACGGTGCAGCTGGAATGTCGGGTGAAGCACGACCCCTCCCTGAAGCTCACGGTCTCCTGGCTAAAGGATGATGAGCCTCTCTACATCGGAAACAGGTTTCTGCTCCTTCCTTCTCTCTTCCTGGTGCGAGTCTGGGCCCGTTTTCTTCCTCCTTGCCCTCGACACACTGAGGGAACCTGAGCATAAGGAGCTGCATCCTGCGTGTCCCCCAGGAACTGCTGCTGGGGGTGGGGTGGCTGTGCCAGTGGCTCCCCCATCCCACGTGCTCTCTGCCTCTCTCCTCCTCTTCTATCTCACTCTCCTTTTCCCCACTCCTTTCTGTCATCCCTCCTTCTCTCCTCCTCTCCCCTCCTACGCACTCCTCCTCCCTTCCTCTTCTGCTTTGAGGGCCCCTTGGCGGTCTGTCCTCAGCCCCGCTTGCAGTACCCCTGTTGTCCAGCAGAGGGCAGGGCTGGCCCGAGCTGCCTGCCAGTAGGGTGTTAGCCGGGTGTCTCAGCCCATAGGCATCTGGGACGCTTTTACTAGACCACACCAGCCTCCGGGGTCCAGATTCAAGTGGCGTGGGGGGAGCGGAGGCATTGACAGTGTCTAAAAGTCCCGACAGGTGTCTGTAATGTGCAGTCTGTGATGGCGAGGACTGGTCTGAGCCGTTCCCTCCGCGAGACTCTTTGTCTCAGCCCCTAACATCTCAGGGGGGGATGGCGGTACAGGATCAGGCCTAGGGAGCAGCACGATCATCTGGCTTTTGCAGGGGCATACCTGACAGGCAGGCACAGGCATCCTCACTCCGTGGGCGCCCACAGCTTTCACAGCCCACCCTGCTCTGTGGTGCTCACCTCCCTCTGCAGGAGACAGTGCAGAGGAGCCCGGACACACGGCCTGAGCCTGGGTGCACAGACCGGCCTGGGCTGAAGGGACAGCTGGAAGTAGGGGAAGGGGAGGGATGCCAGCCTGCCTTTTGGGGGGGTGGATCTAACTGTACCCTCATTTGGGAGGGGGGCACAGCATAAGAAAGGCACAGAGAGTAGACACTGGAGAGTTTGAGGACATGAACGTGGGTCAGAGCCACTTCTGCTTCACCCACTTGCCTTTTCTTCTCCGTCAAGCACTGAAGAGCTCCAGGTAATGGTGAAGACCATGGGAGGGAGCCTCCTGTTCCCTGCCAGGGGCTGTGGCTGCCCAGCCCAGCCTGTGATGCTCCCCTCTCACCCTCCATCCCAACTCCAGGGAGACAGCAGGCAGGGCACAGAGCTCCCCACTCCCCCACTATCGTCCCACTCACCCTCCTCCCCAACCCTCCTGGGGCCCTTGCAGGATGAAGAAGGAAGACGACTCCTTGACCATCTTCGGTGTGGCCGAGCGGGACCAGGGCAGTTACACCTGTGTTGCCAGCACTGAGCTGGACCAGGACCTTGCCAAGGCCTACCTCACTGTGCTAGGTAACAGCCATGCTCACACACGCTCTGACCCTCCCCCATCCCACCCCTTCCCGATCCCAGAGAAGCGGTGGGGCCTGGGGAGGTCCCAGGCCATCGCCTGCGGTCAGAGGGCTGGGCAGACACAGTGATCTCCTCCCTCTGATCTAAGGGTTGGGAAGGCGCTCCTTTCAGAGCAAGCTGTCCAGGCACCTTACCTCTGAGGGGAATCATTAACTCACCCAAATCCTCAACAGATGGATGCCTGAACAAGAGAGGAAAGGTGGACAGAAGGTGGACAGAGGACAAATTTTTTTAGACACTGTCAAAAAATGTCACTGTCACAAAATGATCTTGTGATCATTTTGACCTCTGTACCCAGTTAAAACAATCCATCGTTGAAGCCAGATTGCGTTTTGAGTTGGTCCCACCAACACCTTTGGCCAGCTTCCCTTCCCCTCCCGCCCTGCGCCTGTCTCCTGATGGGATTCTGTAGGGCGCCCTGCATTTAGCAAACCGATTCCATCATGCCCTGCCTCGTGTCTAGGCCAGACTATAAATATGGAGCCAACCTCAACCCCAGGGGAAGGTCGCCTTTTCCATCCAGGGAAGCACATGCCCGGTGTCCCCTCCTCACCTCTGTCCTCTCTCGGGCATCGTATTGCCGTTACTGTTGGTGTGCTCCATCCCTTTGGTGGCGGTGACTCATAGTCGCGGGGGATGGCGGACCCAGGCCCATGGGGGCATTGGGACGGGAAGGAGACAAGCGCTAGCCGCAAAGGAAGCTTGGGGGATGGGTGGGGGGGTTTCTCCATGGAAGCGAAGGTGAAGTTGTGCCCAGAACACCTCTGCCCAGGGCAGCTGTTCAACCCTTGGCCACCTACTCCCATCCTTCTAGAACACCTGTAACCCTGGATAACTTGCTAACCTGGATAACCCATCTTCCCTTGCAGCTGATCAGGCCACTCCAACTAACCATTTGGCGGCCCTGCCCAAAGGTAATTCGTACTAATCACAGGACCCCAGCCAGAGCCCCGTCCAGGTAGCAGGGAGGGTGGGGTCTGAGGAGGAAGGTGCTACAGCACAGGACGTGCCGGGGGAGGCCGCTCGCTGCCAATCCCGATGCCTTTCAAGGGCCCCGCCCCTCTCCTCGCAGCCCAACCACCACCCGACTCCGGGCTTCCTGCGCCTTTCCTAGGTGGGGCTCCAAAGTCCTCGGCTGCTCTTCCTCCCCGTGCCTTCCTTCTGGCCACACTCAGCACTTCCTGGTGGTGGCCTGTTCTCTCCCCCAGCTTTGGCCTCAGAAGCACGGAGGGGGCAGCTGGGAAAGCCCTCTCTTCAGATTACCTGAGGCCCGGCTTGTTTGCAGCCCCGTCTGTGGCAGCACATCCCTTCACAGCCGGCATCCACACGCGTGCACGCGTACACAAACGTGGGCTCCCGTGACCCGCCTTCCCGATGCTCCCAGTAACGAGCCAGAGCACTGAGCTAACTGGCCCGAGCAGCCAGGATGGGGAAACATCCCGCGTACCCCACCAGCAGCGCTGAGGTGGCCTCGTCCCCGGGCCAGGGTGGCCCTGGCAGCCACTGAGGAAGTCCAGTGAGACCAGATCCCCCAAAAGCTCTGTCCCCAGCCCCATTTGGAGGCTTGATGGGACTTCTCTGTCCTGCTGTCTGTCACCGAAGCTCTGGACTGAGTCCCTACTTCCACCCTCATCCGGTCCTCTGCCTTTGTCCCTCCCACGCTCCTAACCAGTCCGCCTTGCTCAGCTCTCCCAACACCCCACTGAGCCCCTGCCCCCTCCAAGCCTTGGCACACAGAGTAGAAGGTAATTATCCTGAGAAAATGAGACCGGATCCCACACTTCCTCCCCCGTTTCCCTACAGGTGGCCAGCATGGGTCTCATGGAAAGGGCAGCATTTTCCAAACGCTCACCCCCTAAGAATAGCCACAGACATGGGATAGGTTGGTCCCGGTTCTCTCTGTGCCCTACATCCTTTGATGATTTTTTGAGGTGGTGGAATTTGAAGTCTCCTCTTTGTTCTTCCTCGGCCCAGGAAGAGGAACTGGGGTGGGCCCTGGGCTGACCCTTCCAGGAAGGCCAGGGCTGGTTCCTGCAGGTGCTGACCTCGGCCCATCCGGGACCTGTCATAGGACAGTGTCCAAGGCCGGGGCCAGTGCAGGGACGGGCCGGCTCTAACGGGGGAGTCCCGTGTGGTGTCTTCTTCCTCTGCTGCCAGGACGGCCAGACCGACCCCGGGACCTGGAGCTCACAGACCTGGCCGAGAGGAGCGTGAGGCTGACCTGGATCCCAGGGGATGACAACAACAGCCCCATCACAGGTCAGCCCAGGGCCCTGCGCTCCAAACCAGAAAAGAGGGATGGACGGCAGCCTGGTTACTGGTAGCAGCTGGAGGCCTTGCCCTGGTTTCTGGTCCCACTTCCCCCTTACCTGACGTGTGCCCTGGGCTATTCGCACGCAGAGCACATGGAGGCCTTGGCTCCCCTCTCAGTGTCTGGGGTGGGGGGATTCTCCCTGTGCCTTCATCTCCCCAATGGAGAGTGTAAAGACTAGTGGGAACCGCACAGGAGAACGTCACAGAAGTCCGCTACCTCAGCTCCCAAACAGCGCTATCTTCCTTGCCTACTCAGACTACGTCGTCCAGTTCGAAGAGGACCAGTTCCAGCCTGGGGTCTGGCACGACCATTCCAAGTTCCCGGGCAGTGTCAACTCTGCCGTCCTCCAGCTGTCCCCATATGTCAATTACCAGTTCCGGGTCATTGCCATCAATGAGGTGGGCAGCAGCCACCCCAGCCTCCCCTCCGAGCGCTACCGGACCAGCGGGGCGCGTGAGTACCCGAGGGCTGACGGCCAAATGCGCTGAACCCAGCTGCCCTGAGGCTCCACTGAGTCCCCCCAGTTCCTGGCCACGTGAACGTGGCGGGCCATTTAACCTCTCCGAGGCTGGACTTCCTGAGCTTTGAGACAGGAAATGACAGCAACACTGCCTCCATCCCGGGAATTTGGGAGGCTTGGGTCTGGAGATACGGTCTGGGTACCTACCGCGACGTCTGGCGTATCGTAAGCACCCAGTAAATGCTCGCTGCAGTTATTATTACTAATATCCTTAATAATTCTGGATCGTCTGCTGTAAAGGGAAGCGCTAGGCAAAGATTTGCCTTAGAAATACATAGTCTGGTGTTATCTCAGATTTCTTTCCCTATCACACTTGGGTAATTTAGATTTCTGAAAATACACCAGCTCATTGTGAGTGGTGCTGCTCCCCCAAAATGCTGAATGCCAGGGATAAGCCGGCCTGGCATTAAACTTACTTAGTGGCTAATCCGGGAAGGGGATAATCCACATTGCGTTGGCTGTTGGGACCATCCAAAGTGCGGAAAGCCTTGTGATAAATGCTGTCTAGTGAGGGATTAAAACTCAAAAGAAATTATCCCTGCTTGGTGGGGGTGGGGGACGTTCAGTCTCAGCTAGGAAGGCACGTCCGCCTCAGGAGAAAACCACGGAGTAAGTTCAATTGCCTGTGGGTCGGTGTGCAGAGAGATGCTGAGGAAGGATGGCCGTGGAAGGGGCTGGTCGGCTGGGAGGGAGAGAGGCCCTGGTAATGCACATTGGACTTGAACTTTGCACCCCCCTTGGGTTGCAGCCCCTGAGTCCAATCCTGCCGACGTGAAGGGAGAAGGCACCAGGAAGAACAACATGGAGATCACGTGGACGGTAAGGGTCCCTCCCAGCCCATCTCCCGATGGATGCGCTGTCTTGACCTTGAGCGCTGGTAGCCCTTTTGCTCCGTATATGCCTGAGGCCCCAAGGCTGCTCTCTGCACTGGATGTGCAGGGCCCAGACAGGAGCATTGTCTAAGAGCAAGATTTCAGACTGGAGACAGGAGCAGAGGTGACTGAGGAACATGGGCAGCTAGTTGGGCAAAATCAGAGAGAGTAACCAGCAACGAAAATGGACTTCTCTAGGAGAAGGAGGGTGTAGAAAAGATTTAGCCTAAACATCAGTGCCTAGTGTTGCTGTGTCCTGGGGTCCTCCCACTGGAGATGGTTGGGGTGCAGGGGAGACCAGCCCCCAAGCTGCTTTGAGAGCAGGGTTTCTTTTAGTCCAGGAAGGAACGAGAGGACGTAAAATCATCTCTCCAAGCCAGGATTGAAAAAAAATCCCATCTTCATCTTGGCTCTCTGACTGTTTTCCAAACCAGAATTGGGATTTGTGGCCTCAAAATGACTTTTTTCCAAAACCAATTCCAAGTCTGAGAGATGCACTTTCAGCCATGGAAATATTAACATTTCTGTGCTGTCGCCAGGAGTGACAGAAGCAGGGAGATACAACGTGTGAGATCATGGCTGTCCCCATCTTCTGGGGACCCAATCTCACAGCAGCCTAGGCAGCTGGGCTGAGCCCAGATCCAAAACACTGGGGCTCATCTTCAGAGCCTTGCAAGGACCGGCTCCTGGTCTACAGCTCTGGAGGGGACTGCTTCCTGGGCCAGGCCCTTAGGGAACGAAGAGCAGAGTTGTACTACCCTTAGCTGCTGTGCAGGACAGCATAGTCACACATGGGTTCAGTAGAGCCCAAGCCAGTTCTGTAATTTTGAGTTCATTGGCAGCCGGCATGCTGTGGCTAAACCAAAACTCATCACTCTCCAACGTCAAAGAACATTCTGTGATTTTCTTATTTTGTTCTGCTTACCGACCGGCCACAGGAGTGTCCTGTTGAAAATAAATCTTTGGCTTCCTATGCACTTGCAAACGTGGGTGGCTCTGGGACTCAGAGAGACTAGGTCTTGGGTGAAGACTGTCACAGAAAATCTACATGCTGAGTTCGTAAGACTTTGGGCTTTGGAGGACTCAGCGAGAGGGTGGCCTGGTCTCCCACTGCCGCAAGGGGGCGGTGCTGGGCAGATCGGGGCGGGGTGCAGGCTGTGGGTAAGTCTGGGCTCCACCCCTGCCTTCGATCTCTCCCTGCTCAGCCCATGAACGCCACCTCCGCCTTTGGCCCCAACCTGCGCTACATCGTCAAGTGGCGGAGGAGAGAAACTCGAGAGTCGTGGAACAATGTCACAGTCTGGGGCTCCCGCTACGTGGTGGGGCAGACCCCCGTCTACGTGCCCTATGAGATCCGAGTCCAGGCCGAAAATGACTTTGGAAAGGGCCCTGAGCCAGACACTGTCATCGGTTACTCCGGGGAAGATTGTGAGTACCCTCCCCCATCCCCCAGCCAGGATCCTCCCAGCCGGGCTGCGCACAGCCAGCCTCACAGCCCAGGAACCTCGGGGTGGGTCATGGGACTGCCAAGAACATCCTGGGAGGACTGCTGGTTCCCAGGAAAGAGAAATTCCCTATGGTGACCTCAGGCAGACAGGCCCCTGATAATGTCAGGAGACGAAATGTCATCACCACCCAAACGGTAGTTAGAATTACCAAACATCATCAGCTAGTCCAATACTGCCATTTCACGGATGTGAAAACTGAGGCCCTGCAAGGGAAAACCGTTGTCAATATTACCCAAGAGCAAATGTCAGGCTTGAAAACAGAAGCCAGGCCTTCTAGTCTACCTGAATGTCAGCCCTTACTAGTGCCAAGACTCCAGGACTCTCCCTCCCAAAGAGCCACAATCAGACTCCTCCAAAGGAAGCAGGGCCACAGGCCAGACTCCTCCCTGGCTCCCCAGGGGAAACCTCGAGAAATAGAGGTCTCCAGAGCCCCAGACTGGAATAACCCAGACCAGCTACCTGCTGGCATCCTAGTGTTGCTCTTAACCCTTGGACTGAGCGTGCAAAGAGTTCTTTGGAGGCTGGCCTTGGTAAATCAACAAGATTCCGGGCATGTATGTAGAAGCATATCCCTGGCTTTGAAGATGGCAGTGGCCTTCCTGTATCCCGCACAGTCATTCAGTAGGCTGCTGAGCAGAGCAGGAGGGCCAGGGGAGCCCCTCCCGATCAGGGTGATCCAAGAAAAGATCACGTAGGTAGGTGGAGAGGAGGACAGAAGGAAGGGAGGAAAGAGTCTTGGGGACCCCACTGCTGGGGTCAAGAGTAGGGCCCATGTTGTGCCTGACAGTCAGGTGGGAAGAAGTGAGGCAGGGGGCCCGTGCACCACTTCCCTGGAGGTGATTATGGACTGGACCCACTGGGGATAAGTGGATATATCAGCAGACTCTGTCCACCCTGCTCCTTGTCTCGTGGTGGCAGACACGTCCAGACAGGAGACTGGCAGGAACTACCGGCTGGTGAGTATGGAACGAGTAGTGCTAGTCGTGGATTTCGTGGGCCCGCCCACAGTTCCCACGGTACCCCCAGCCCCCCTCCGCCTGTGCTCTGCTGGACCAGAGGGGCGGGGCAGAGCTGTACCTGCAGCAGAGTGCGGCGAACCAGGCGAGTGCGGGTCTCCCTCTTCAGGGGGTCAACCATCAGAATCCCCTCCTGAACGAGGTTGGGGCTTCTTCAGCCTGTGGCTGACATTTCCTGCAGGGTCCTAGTGGGAAACGAGTGTCACTCAGAGGGGACTATCTCTAATGTGAGGATGGGGTTCGAGGGAAAACAGCAGGGTATCAGGAGCCACCCAGAGGACTAGCAACAGCAGGACCCCAGTATAACACTCTGTCTGAGCCTTGAAGGGGCAGCGGACGGGGACGTCCCCATGAGCAAGAGGTAGAACCTTGTGTAGAAAATTGTAGCAGCCCTGCAGCCCACAGAGAGGCGGCCAGAGGACCTGGTACCTCCCTCTCCTCCTGCCCTGGGGTCTCCCATTGGCCTTGCCTATTAAGCAAACCCCTCCAAGGGCCTGTGAACAGGGGGAGGAGGGCAGCTGTCACAGTCCGGAGAGGGCAGCCTGCTGGGACGCAGAGCAGGTGGCGAAGGGTAGTGCATGGGATGGGGCAGCAAACGGAGGCTACTCAGCTGGGAGGATAGCAGATAATCTCCCTCTAAACGTGTGGGCAGATCTCTCCCAGCCTTGGCCTGGCCTTCCCCCCACTCCCCAGGGGCAATCTCCTGGAACAGTGCTGGCCTCATGGAGTACCCCATGACCAGAGTGGGGTGGAGGCACCGGCCAGCTGAGAACAAGTCCGAGGGGCCCCTCGAGTCCAGGGGCCAGCCCTGCTTGCTTAACCGGCTCTCTGTCCCAACGCATTGCAGATCCCAGGGCTTCACCCACTGACGTTAAAATCCGAGTCCTGAACAGCACGGCCATCAGCCTGCAGTGGAACCGCGTCTACCCCGACACGGTGCAGGGCCAACTCAGGGAGTACCGAGTGAGGAAACCACTCCCAGCCCGGCCTAACCACCCAGCTTGCTAACCAGGGCAAGGGGCCAGCAGACGCGGGCCACAGGCTGCTCGGAAGGGGTTCTAGGGCTCGCTGTGGGATCCAGAGTTGATTCAAGATGATGTCCGGGTTAGCTGTTCAAAAATAGCCCCAGAGAATGATGATGCGGGTATCCCCAGGTGTGTCCTGCGACAGCAGGGCTGAGAGACTGCTCAGCGGACAGTCACACAGAGGGCGGCGGGTTCGGGTGGACGCCGCGCATGGCCCGTTGCGCTCCTACACCAGCGAGCACACACACCTGTGTCTTAGGAGAAGCGTTGAGGCCCCACTGAGCTGCACCCCTCCCCTCTCCTAGTGGTCCCCGCCGGGCTGCTTGCCTCACCTGGTCCGGTTTCATGACACCCAGGCAGAGCCTCCAAAAGGTGTAAACACCTTCCCCGTGTCGCAGCCAACTCCGGATTACTGGGCCTGCAGGTTACCAAGGCCCTTGGCTGCGCCGGGTCTCCCTGCCTGCGGGCAGTTTCCGCTCATGTGTCTCTCCTTTTGGAAGGGGCGAGCTGAGGCGGGCAGAGGAGAGGGAAAACCAGGCTCTGCCAGGCTCTCCCTTACACGGAGCTTTATTCAAAACGTGTCTGGGAGGTGACGGCGGCTGTTAAGTGTGGGTTAGTGCAGGTTCTGTGACTGGGACGTCACTGAGAGTTGGCTGATGGACAGTCAGAGGCAGAATGGCGGGGATCCGTCTCTCTGGGGCCGTGGATGCGGTAGGCAGGGGAAGGCAGGCAAGAAGATGTGTGCGCTTCAATGAGCTCCTCCCCAGCACTCGTACCCTTAACCGACTTGCCCGGAGATTTTTCTGGCTAAAGCTCCTACTGGGTCCCCTTCTAAAGTGTGGGCTTCCGCCTTCCTTGGCCATTGGAGGCCCAGGTGACGCTGGTGTGGCAGCCTGACCTGGGCCTTCTTCCCTACCGCTAACTGTACCTCGTGTCCCAAACTCTCTCAACTCTACCCATAACCCTGCCGCCTTCCGGAGGCCATCCCATCCACGCTCTTGCCACCAGGCAGCCTGGTGTCCACTGACCTGGACATGTGTCTAGCTCATTCTAAAGGGCTCCAAACAATTTTAAAAGAAAGCGTTTGACTTCAAAGGATTAAATCAACTCTCCTATTCAGACTTCCGGGGGTAACCTGTCCTTTTCAGCTCCCACCTGCTTCCAAGCTAAACCATACTAATCCAACTCCAGGCGACGTGGCCTTTGAGCCCAGAAGAGAGCTTTCCATGCCCGGACCCTTGGCCCGTGTTTGTGGTTCCGGCATGGACTCCATGAGCAACTCGTTCCCTGGCTTGGAAATCAGGGGCCTTTCTACCAGAAACTTTGGCCAACTTGCCTATTTCCCAGAGAGCCCATGCGGCTCAGGAAGTGACTGAGCCCCAAACCCCTGTTTCCTCTTTGACAGCAGCTCATACTTGCTAGGGGTCGAGGAGTGGGACCTCTCGGGCCGCTCCCCCAGCCCTAGGTGGGGCTGCTCAGGGCACTCGGGACTCGGAGCCTGTGACAAGCAAAGGGAAGACCAGTCACTCCCAGCGCCACTAACAACTAACCCAGCTCTGCCTGACCGTCCCCTCACCGGCCCGCCTCTGTCCCGAAGGCCTACTACTGGAGGGAGAGCAGCTTGCTGAAGAACCTGTGGGTGTCTCAGAAGAGGCAGCAAGCCAGCTTCCCTGGTGACCGCCCCCGTGGCGTGGTGTCCCGCCTCTTCCCCTACAGTAACTACAAGCTGGAGATGGTCGTGGTCAATGGGAGAGGCGATGGGCCTCGCAGTGAGACCAAGGAGTTCACCACCCCGGAAGGAGGTAGGTCTGGCCTGCAGCTCTTCGGGGTGGGGCAGGACAAGGGCAGTGCAGCCAGCTGGGCCCGGAGCAGCCCCTGCGGGCCTGGGCCGGACAGCACAAGGTGACCTCTGCGTGAGCCCAAGGCGCCGGCATCCTGCGAGCCGAGGAGTTCCTGCCATTCCCGGAGCGCTCCATCCCCGGGCCGGCCTGCCCTGACAAGACGCTATGTCTCAAGAGAGGACCTGAGCCACCTGCGGACAGAATTGCAGATGGGCCAGAGGACCAACCCCCACGGCCAAGGGCGCTACGGGAGCCCGGGCCACCCCCACCTCCGGAGGCCGAAGCACCATCACTCTGACCACCAGAGGCACCGGCTTGTTCCCCAGCACCCCGGACCTTCAGAGTTCTCTCAGCACTGTGCTCCGGAAGCTTCTGTCGGGACAGCTGGCCCATGTGTGCGGTGGCCCTGCAGGGGGCGCCCTGCCTGCTGCTGGTTCCGGGTCCCCCTGGGCCTGGGAGGCAGACACCTGTGAAGTTCACCACGTCCTCCTGTACCGGCTCAGCGTTTGCTTTGCCCTCTTCTGTTTCTCCTCCCTCCCTTCTTAACCGCCTTTCCCCTCCATTTTTCTTCTCTTCCTCCTTCTTTGTTCTTCCCTCTTATTTTCTTTATTCCTATCTTTCCAGCCCCCTCATTTTGCGTTTCATCTCCAGCCTCTCTCCGTCGCTCCCACTCCTGGTGCCCTGTCCATGAGGCCCACCTTGGGCTTCTTTCTACTGACCCCTGAACCCAGCATTCTCAGCTCGGAGGCCTGGGCCTGCTGCTGGGCCCCAGGGTGAGGAACCTTGTCTGAGACTGGGAACCGCAGCTTCTGTGCCCACAGTTCTGGTTGGTTCCCTGCTGGCTCGAAGGCATCTTTGCAGGGACAGAGCCTAACGTGTGCTGAATCCACAGTAGCTGCTAAAGGAAAACCTGACTGACTTCTTCCGCATTTAAACGGAGTCTGAGCCATGCTTGTCCTAAACGGGGAGGGGATACAGGGGTAGGGAACAGCATCCTGGATGGGGCGAAGGGGTCTCGTCCCCCCTCTGGTTCCCCTGGGTTCTGGCTTAGCAGCTGTCCAGCATGGGGGTTGCCCCAGGTCAATGCCTTCATACTTGTGCTCTGTTTTTTTGTGTTTCCTCATCCTGCCTCTGCCCTCCCCTTCTTTTCCCCTGCCCTCTCCTCCTTCCCCAAGTACCCAGTGCCCCCAGGCGTTTCCGAGTCCGGCAGCCCAACCTGGAGACAATCAACCTGGAGTGGGATCACCCGGAGCACCCCAACGGGATCCTGATCGGATACACGCTCAAATACGTGGCCTGTATGTTCCACGCTTCCTTCTCTTAATCTGGGATTTACAAGCCCCGTTCTCGCCATTTCACTAAGGAGTCGAGGTAGAAAAGCTTGAGGTAGCTCAGAGCGCCCTGCAGAGGGCTAGAGGTGCCAAGGAGAAAGTTCCCCTAGGGGATTAGGGGAGGGAGAGACCCAGCCCACCCCATCCCCATCACCCCCCACCCCGGCACAGCTCCTCCTGCCAGGAGCTTCCGGTCTAATGAGGGATTTAGCCCTACCCTTCGGGGATCTTAGAGTTTCCAACACCTACAAGTGAGTCTAGGAAAGACCGTATTTGTGCCTCATCAGACGGGATACATTACACACAGGGGAATCCACACAGCACTCGGGGAGGCTAAACCAGGTACCGTTTATGTCAGGAGCCCGGGTAGGGAAGACCTCACTGAAAGAGCTTAGTGTCACCCTGTCCGGACAGCAGTGTCCTTACATTTGAGAAGCCTCCACAGTGGCCGATCTTGTACCTCATTGGGAAGCTCAAAGGGCCAGGTGTTGTGCTGTGGACGATTTTAATAGCCAGCTGCGTGCTTGTGTGCTGTTCTAAATGATCTCTGGCCTGACCGTCCCCCTTTGAGGTATACTGAATAGGCCTTTTACAAAGGAGGCATTAATGATCAAAAGCTCTAGTGATTCTGCCCTAGTTGTGTTTGAAAGGAAGAAAGGACCTCAAAAGTTTTGTCCTTATTGAAAAGGCCTGGGGATTATAAACCAAACCCAGCCGCTGCATAACTTTGCAGTGAGCTGGAGATAATGAGATCAGTGAAAAAGCCTGAGCCCTGGGGTGTCACTGAAGAGCCGGAAAGTTTCTGCCCAGGTCTCTGCCCTTGAACCCCAATCTCCCAACCCCCCGGTCATTACGGTCCTGGGGCGAACTCCCCTTGTTCTCTTTGCAGCAGAGTCGGGAAGGCTTTCTCCTTCCAGCTGCAGATTATATAACCTACCACGGTCATTGCTGCTCGAGTTCAATTTCACTTACCTATCTCTCCCCAGTTAATGGAACCAAATTAGGAAAGCAGATAGTGGAAAACTTCTCTCCCAATCAGACCAAGTTCACGATGCAAAGAGCAGACCCTGTGTCGCGCTACCGCTTTACCCTCAGTGCCAGGACGCAGGTGGGCTCTGGGGAAGCTGTCACCGAGGAGTCACCAGCACCCCCAAATGAAGGTAGGTGCATTGTAGCAGCCTCGGGGGTGGAAGGTCCCGGCTAATTCCGATGCCTAGAGAAACACCCTCACCTGGCCTTCTGGCCGCCAGCCTTCTGGGCTGGAGAGAAAATAAGGCTGCAGGTCCTCTAGCCCCCCCACAGGATACAAGAGAACCCATCCCCTATGCTGAGAGGTAGGTGTATCTGGAAAACTCAGATCTTCTTAGACAATGGCACTCAGACCTGACCCGCACTTTGCCTTGACTTGCTCAGCTACTTAACATCTGTCACCTGTCCTCCTTGGGAGGGGGGGGGGGATAGGAAAGAGAGCCTGGGTCCATAGTAGAGATGACATGAGGGAAAGCATGTGGGAATTAAAGGTGCTAAAGAACTTCAGAGAGCTGCGGCAGTGTTGGCCCATGGTGGGGGAGGGGGGCTGCAGTGCTACTAAGGATACCTGGGAACGACTCTGGGATACCTCTTCTCCGGAGGGCACACGGAGCCAAGGAGGGAGGGAAGCAGCCTCGATCGACGCTACTCGCCAGGAGCGTGAGCACAGCAGGTGTCAGCCCTGCTCGGAGCCTGAGCTGGGTTGGGTGTCAGGCTGTGCGCAGGGAGGGCGTTGGGAAACAGCCCCTGGCCAAGCCAGCTTTCCTGAGAGCAGCTCTTGGCTCAGCTCTTGGCTCCTAGTATCTTCCTAGCCCCGGAGCACCCCCACTGGGCTGCGCCTGCCTGAGAAGGCCACTAGAGGGGACTCCAGGCCCACTCGTACCCGTGCTGGCACCCGGAACCTCCAGGATGCCAGGCTGTAGGAGGAGACCCCCTGTTTTCCAGAGGTTCAGTGGTGTGTTCAACAGCCGTTTCCTGAGCATCTGCCACGTGAGGTCCAAACACGGTGCCAAAAACAAGGGACATGGTCCAGCAGGGGCGAGCCGCAAGAATATCTCCTTGCTGTCCCACGTGAGGAATGTTAGGTTTAGCTGAGGCAGGTGCAGTGGCCATGCAGAGGCTGGGCAGAGGAGAGGTCCATTCTGGGAATGGACATTCTGGGAAGAGGCAGTGTGAATGGGGATTCTAGAAGCAGACAACAGGTTACTCTGTGCGGTGCTTGTCCCAGAAGCTGAGGTCCGACGGCCTGACCCTGGCCCACATTGGACCTCCCAAGCACCTCTTCCCCACCCCAGCAGAGCCTCAGGGCTTCTTCCTCTGGGCCTACCAGGCCTGCTGCAGGGACTCCCAGCTCAGCTTCACAGCCACCCTGCATCCCTCCCCAGCCCTGCCCATCGTCCCCCTCCCCCTGGGCCAGCAGGCCAGGCTAAGCAGGCAGGAGCGGGGACGGGCGGGACTTGGAGAAAGGCTGACAGTCCTTCTCTGGTCTTATAAACCGGGCATGAGCTACACAATAAACTCCCCTCCTAGTGTGCTTGTCAACCCCCCGGGGCACTAGGGCAGTTTATTAGGGCTGGGGGACTTTGGGTAAGTAGCTAATAATACGCCACTTAGCAAAAGCCTGGCCAGAAAAGGGATAACGCGCTTTCCTGATTCCTTAATTCTATAAGGAGAGACATAAAGAGAGCCTCTTGTCCTTCCCCATTCCTGGCCCAAAACAGAACATCAGATCAACAAATACCCCATTGTCAAGCCCTAGTGACCACCACAGGGTACATTCTGGGGCCCCAGGGGACAAGAGGACAAAGGGAGACTTTCTTCTCCATTTAGGGGTTTGCAATAAATTCAGGAATTCCTTTTTAGGACTCCCAATCCACAGTTGGGTTTCTTCTTTCATAAAGTTCTGCTGGTGGGAAAGAACAGGGGGCAGCAGACCCTCTGAGCAGGGGCCTCAGGGCTGCCATTTGTGAGAGCTCCTGGGCCTTCCAAGGCCAAGGTGGTGTGGGGGAGGGTTCACAAAACAGGCTCGCCCCTCCTCCATCCGTCCCAATGCTACTCACCATCTTCCCCCAAAGATACAGGATTTGGGGTTTGACGTCCTCCTTATGCCCACAATTCTTGGCATCCCAGAAGGTCACCCAGCCTGCCTCATAGAGATCAGCCTGGCCAGGGAAGACACACCCTTGGGGAAAGACCTGGAAACAAAGCACTCGAGATTCGCCGTCCCTACGACCACCCCTTAGTTGGTAGTCCTTGAGTGGAGGTAGAATCAGAGTGTATTAGAGAGGTCTCCAAGATCCGGGTGGAAAGTTGTCTGTAGGAACATACCAGACTGCCCATGGAATTGACCATGAACCCTGGACACCAATTGGCATCCTCAGGGCAGTAGCCAGACCCTGGTCACACTGTCTGGGTCACGTTTGAGCCAGACGCTTCTCTGCTCGCTTGTCCTGTGGTTTCACCTGTGCTCTGTTTTGTCTTCCCTCTCTCATCCTTTCTCCCTCTCTCTGGCCATCTTGGGCGCTGTGTTCTGAAGCCACTCCAACAGCAGGTACCGTACCAGCAGCAGAGGTAATGGGCATGGCATGGGACAGTGCAGGCGGAGCCCGCCCAGCTAGGGTGGAGAAGGAGGGAGCCCAGGATGAAAGCATGTTCCAGACTGTCTCTTTCAGGGGTTGGGAAGCCAGACTGTCAAGAAGGCTGTGTGCGGAGGATGGGACCAGAGGAGGTCAAAGCTTTCCCCTCTTCCTCTTCACTTACTCTTGGTCCACCTCGGATGGCTTATGAGGGCCCCCCCACCCGCCCAACGGGCTCCAGACCTAGTCTCTGCAGCTGCAGCTTTCTTGGAAGCTGCGTGATTCCTTCCCCTGACTGACATGGGCCCTGGCCTAGTTTTGACATCTCGGGGTGCAGAGAGAGGGTCTGCCGTCCTTGGGTGGCCGGCCGTGCCCCTGAAAGGAATGCTGGCCTGTGAGTGGAGGAAGCTGGCTCCTGTCTTCCGGTCCGGCTGCCATCCCCTGAAAGGGTGCCTCGGGGCGAGCGCTCTGTGCATGCAACCCGCGCGCGCGGCATGGGGGCCCGGCACCAGCTCTGCCGTCTGCCGTGGGTTCTGGGCAGTGACTGGGACTGAGCTTGTCCTTGGATAGGGCCAGGTGCTCCAGGACCTGGAGTCTCAGTGGGCACCATAGGCTGGTTGTTCCCTCGCCCCTTAGAAACCCAGCTTCTCAGAGTCTTCCAGCATGAAGAACAGCCGCCACTCTTGGGGTCTGGGAGCTAAAAGCACAGCAGAAGGGAGGAGTGGGTGGGCAGGTCCCGACTTAGGACATGGTCCGCTGACCGCAGCCCTCCTGTTAAGCCCTCATGCTGGGCATGTCATTATTGAAGGCCTATCCTCAGGCTGGGGATGCTAGGCAGGGGACCCCACGGCTCCTTCCCTGTCCTCCTCTGCAGCTGAGGGCAAGGCTCACCCTGGCAAAGCAAAGGCTAGGGGCCCAGGGATCACTAGAGCCTCCTGAAGCTCTAGGCAGAGAGGTGGACTGAGAAGCAGGTGAGAAACCGGAGGGTTAGCTTATGAAGACGACTGCCAGATCTGGTTTCCTCCCATCCCCATTTTAGGTTGGTTCTATTTCTGTTGCACACCCCGCTTCCTTCCATTTGTGTTTCTTTTGCCAGATCTGTGGGTGGTGCGCAGCCATCATCCCTCCCTCTCCACCCCCCCCAACTCCCCATCCCCCCTCCACATCATTGCCCAGGCTGGTGGATCCCAGTGCCTCCCCACAGGGCCCAAACAGCCTCCACTGGGATATGACATAGGCAGATGTCCTGGGTGTGGGGACCATGGAGAAAGCCATCCTTGTACTCCACAGGCTGCCCTGACTTTCTGGCGTAACTTGGCCCAGGGGTTTCTTCTGGAACTCTTCTAGCAGGTGCTCAGGGTAGCCTAAGCAGGCTCAGTGAACATAAGAGGGGGAGACACAGGACACCAAGAGAACCCACTGGAAGCTCATTGGTCAACCAGCTCCCAGCCCACCTCCCCCTTTCTGGCACCCTGAGACCCAAGGCAGGTGGGTCGGGTAGCAGGGAGTCCGCCGTGCCAGCAAGCGTCTGTGCCAGCCTGGGCTGCCACTCTCATGAGTGGCACCTGCGAGGGAGAGGTGATCATTCCGAAGCCCCCACCTTCTGCTCCCCATTTAGAAAAGATCTAAGCCCATTGTGGTATGCACAGTGACTGCAGGGTCTCCGACCCTCGATCACACGTGCTTCCTGGGCGCCAGCTTCCCCGGGACATGGCAGTAGAGGCTCAGTGCACGTCTTTGTAAATGAGATGTGCTCATGGCATTGGCTGTCCTCAGCTGTAATGCTCGAGAACCTTCTGCGCACACTGCAGGTGCCAGGCAGTGGAGCCCAGGTCTGACAAATCCGACGAGGGTCCCTTCCAGCTCATCGTCCCTGAACCTGGGTGTTTTATCCCCACACTTACCTGTTCATGTCTTACCCACTAAAAATAAACCCTCTTGCACACCTCTCAGGATGGCTGCCCATCTGGCCTGGCCATCTGTGGCTTGGCCACGGTCGTCCATGCGCCATGTGGCCATTTTGGGACTGAACCTTCCACCTTGGAATGTCTGGAAACTCCTGTCCTCCTCTGTGACTCAGATCTGCAAGTGTCTGCAGGGCAGCTCCGTGGCCGGTTCTGGGGTCAGGAAGATGAATAAGACAAGCTCTCTCCCCAGTTTTCCTCATCTCTTCTGTGGTGTTCCCCGAAACTCTGGTGGCAAAGCCTCAGCTGAGGCTAGGGTACCTTCCAGTGTGCGTGAGGTAACCCAGTAGGCTGCCATGGCCTTTGGGGAGGGGTGCTATGCTTCTAGCTCTAGCCGCCCCCCCCCCCGTCCTGAGACACTACCCCCCACGGCCTTCCTCTCCATTGTCAGGCTGATACTGTCCACTGCTCATTGGCTACCGTGGTTCTCCAGCCCGTAATTCCTGCTTTAACTGGAGAGGACATCCAAGCTCAGCAACGCGCCTCCCCAACCTGTGGGCCTCTCCGTCTCTAAGCCCCTTATCTCCTCTGTGCAAACCCACCCCAGGGGATGAACTCCTCTGGGTTACCTTTGACCTGAGCACTGGACAGTTTCTCCATGAAAACCTGCCTCCCCCTCTCACCTGTGGGAACCTCTAACAACTCACTCACCTGACCCAGAGCCTTTCCGTCTTGCCTTTGGCCCCCCGACTCCCTCTCCCTATCTCCCTGTCTCTCTGTCCCTGTCCAGCTATGGGACAATAGACACAGCTAATGAGTGGGTCAGAGAGAACAATGATTTGCCAGCTGTGACCTCAGCCTAGCTGAGGCTGCCACCTCCACAGTGACTCTAATGGGAAGACACTTGGGAGGCCACTCCTTGCCTTTTGTTCCCCTCTTACCAATAGTGAGACTGTTGATGCTGACCTGGAGGGAAAGTGGTTAGGTGGCCGTCATCAGAAATGCTTCCTCCTTGTCACACTTAGCAGAAGGGCCCATTGGTGGGGAGGGGCAAGATGACGCAGCATCTGCAGATTCATTTCCCATTCTTGTCTCTGACCAGCAGCACCAGGGAAAAAGTCGCCCTAACCTCACCTCTCGTAGCCTGTCTGTTTCTAGGGCTTCTTGCTGGAATGCCCAGGGAAGCATGTGCGAGCCTCACTGTGGGCCTGCGGGAGTGTAGTGTGTGTGTCTCTGCTTTACGAGAGCCGAGGGGCATGTGAGAGTGTGTAGAGCTCTGGGGGCAAGTGCCACTGAGTCTGGGGGCTCAGGAAATGTAACACCACCGCCCATGTGTGCATTACCCAGAACGGGATGATTTTAATGCAGAGTTGTCCCCTCAAAGCTTTTTGGCAATGCCTTTTAAATAGTCGTGGAAAAGGAAGGCGCTGTGAACATCCTATTGCCAGAAGTGATTAGAAACTACGCCGCTGGTACGGAGACAAGTCGGAGCCGGTCCTGCCCAGATGGGCAAGCTAGCCTCTCCAGGGTCCTTCCCGCAGCACAGAGCAGCGGGAAAAGCCCATGTGTGTGCATGTCCACGGGAGCTGCAAGGGACCAGGTCTGGAAGGGAGCTGACCTCTGCCTTGGGGTCTCTCCGGCTTTTCCGTGTGTTTGTCTGTCTGTCTGTCTTGGTGAGTGAGGTAGGTGGACTCCCTCACCCTGAGCATTTACAGCACTGAGCTTTCCAGGCCTGGGGCCACCTTGCACTAATGCATCCTCGAAGGGTGACTTTGACAGGGAGTCTGGCCACGCCCCATGCCTTCCTGATGTCCGCGTTGGCTTTGACCCCACCCGGGAATGTTTGGAATGCGTGGGACACAGCTGGCTACCCAGTGTGACTTCTGTGGTCAGCACACCCTCAGGGTCCAGTACCGCCTCTGATCTTGCAAATAGGGAAGTGGCTGGGATCCCAGAACACTCCCTCCTCCTCCGTGGGGACGGGTAATATTGGAGAATTGGGAATGAAAGGGCCTTTGTTGCTCAGGCTCTTACTGCAAAGTCCTTGGGTCTCTTCATTCTCCCCTGAGAAAAGCTCTCTGGCCATTGTCTCTTTGACTCCCTCCCTGCCCTGGCCCCCCTTCTGGGCAGTGGGGATCTTATCTTCCTAAACTTCTGGAGCTTTGAGATAGGGCTGGCGTGTGGCTATTTCTCGGGGGTTTACAAGGATCTCCTTCATCTTAACATCCCTGCCTTCTGTCCCAGAAAGCAGACCATGATCAGATGACAGGAGATGGCAAGGGGAGAGGAGGTCTGTCTCTCTCTGGTTTGCCCCCATCATTCCCATCCTCATGGCTTTCGGTAATACTGGACCTAGAGAGTGGTAGGGCCGCCCTCGGTTAGCTTCTCCGACCCTTCTGTAGAAGGAAAGTGGGCATATGGAGACAATGTCATACAGATGGACTTAGCCACCCAGGGGTGGCTGATATCCAGGGTGGCTTTGGGTAGGAGACGAGAGTATGAGAGTGAGCACAGATTTGAACCAATCTCCCTGAAGATTTATGCAACAAAGAGGCCCACAAATATATCTCGTTTATGTCCCGGGGTTTCTCCATCCACAGAGCACAGGTGACACTGCGACTCCATTAGTGCCCATCCCACATCCTAATGTGAAGGGAAGGGACCTGGGGCTCCTGGAGCCCTAATGTCCTCAGAAGAGAGGAGATAGGGCAGAGTAATTACAGAAAGGAGCATCACTGGGCAGGGAAGAAGGGAGGAGAGGCAGGGCCACAGATCAGAACTGAGAGCCTGGGGACGGGTGGACGGTGAGACAGGAGATGCAGACCCCACTGGGAGGCTGACCCCCAGAGTGGGGGCTGTTTGCTCTCTGTCGTTGGGTTTGGGGGTGTTAGGACCCAAGCAGCTGTGAGAAAGGGTACTTTGGGAGTGAATGGCTGGGAATGGGAGTCTTCCCAGTGCTCCTACAGGACACGGCCGCCACCTGCCCCCCTCCAAGGCGGGAGCTCTGGGGCCAGACCCAGGTGCTGCTAACTGGCCTGTGTCTGGGTAGTGCTGGCTGGGGACCCCATGCCGTCCCTGGCACCTGAGCGATTCGGTGTCCGTCCTTTCCCATCCTCATCCTCACTCTTGGTGGGGTGCATGCTGGGTGCTTCGAGCCACACAGACCATGAGAAGAAAATGAAACACGCACAAGGCTTCATTCTCTTCCTGGCCCATGGCTGTGTCCTCTCACTGTGATCCGTCCGACCCGGTCCGTCACGCGTTGCGGGGGAGGCTTCTGGTCACTGAGCCCCATCTCCTCCCTGGGGCTGCCTGCCTTGCACGCGGGGCTGCGAGTCCAGGCCGAGGGCCGCCCAGACCAACCGGACGGGCTGTTCTACATTTCCCCCCCCAGCTCCTCCCACGTGGCCCCCGACCACGGTGGGTGTGACAGGCGCTGTGAGCAGTACTGACGCTACTGCCCCCGCTGCCACCACCGAAGCCACAACAGTCCCCACCATCCCAAGTGTCGCACCTACCACCGTGGCCACCACCACCGCTGCCACCACTACAACCACTGCCGCCACCACCGCAGAGAGGCCTCCCACCACCGCCTCCGGGACTAAGATGCCCGAATCTGGTACTGCCACTGCCCCTGTGCCCCATCCCTCTGCCAGAGCCCCCCGCGTAGGAGGGCGGGTCTGGGGGGTGCCGTTGGCCGACGCCTCTCGTTGTTCTACCTGGAGAGCGCACGGGGTTGCTAGGTCCGGGAGCCCAGGGGGCACAGAGCGCCACCTAGCACGCTCCACCTTAGGTGGCCCTCCTCGGCTCCGCACGCCTGTTCTAGCTTCATATCCTGTTAACAGAGGCCCACACTCCACAGGCAGTTACCCTGGGGTCCTGGATGGGAGGGCTGCCTCCACCTCCATGCGGAGCAGCAGCTCAGGGCTGAGCATTCTGGAAAGGAAAGAGTATGGGCAAGTGCAGGGGACTGACCCCAGATAGTTGGCCCGAGAGGGCTTCCTGCCCCAGGGCCATGTCACTTCCAGCCCCGCAACCTAGAGGAGTGGGGAGTGGCCAGCCCTGCCAGGCAGCTCTTCCCTCTCCCCTCTCCCAGCAAAGCTATCTACAGCCTCCCCACCCCCACAGCCTTTTTTTAAGAAGGGCTTCCAGGAAAGCATTGCTACAGAGCCCCGTAATGCCTAAGGGTGCTCTGTTCTTCCCACTCGCATCCCCCACACCCCCAGATACACACCCCCATTTATTTCTAAGAACCAAGCATCAAACACCCTTTCATTACCGGCCCGGGGAGGGCCTCTAGCTTGCAGAGTGCACAGGCCAGCTGTAGAGTCAGCCTGATGCAGCTGGCAGGGCAGGCAGGAAGCATCCAGAAACCTCCACCGGCAGCTGTACGGTGGTAGCCGCCCACCCTACCCCCCTGGTCCTGGGCAAGTCCCTTTACCTTCTGGGGCCTCACTTCTCAGCACCTGAATGAGGATGGAGGCTTGATGCACGTGTGAGTATCATCTTTAATTCCATTACACGGAGTTACATGAACCCTAAGGGGACAAGGGACACATAACTGACAGTATGTTCTCCGGACCTTGAAAACGCCAATTTGCCATGAAGGTACAATATCTAGAATTTAAACAGCATGGACTGTATGTAGGAAGATGTCAGCTGGGGAGAAGCCTGGCAGGCTACTAGAAGCTGCCACCAGTAGTTTGGTGATGGGCGTTCTTTGGGGCCACAGGGAGGCATCTTTGCCTTATAACAGGGCCCCGGAACCCCACGAGTGCTGTGAGGTCACTGAGCGGATGCGCGGAGGCTGAAGAAGGGACAGATCTTGCCCCCCCGCCGCAGAGTTCCTTGCCCTCCGGAGGGGTCAGCCTTGCTGCCGTAGGACTAACCCATGGACTCTCACGTGCGACTCCTAACTGCCCGAGACACCGCAGGGGACCTGCCCGTGCCCCTGAACTTATCCTTAGAGCCTGGGGACACCCCTCAAACATCCTCATTTCCCTTAACGCAGCAGACTGGTACTGCCATCCATGAATTTTAAAATGATCATTCATCTTTATCATGTCTTAGGACCAGATGTTTCCAAAGTTTACTTTTTTCAGGGTGAAATGGCACTTTTTCTTTGTCCTTAACTTGTCTCTTTCAGACTTCAAGGGATGCGCCCTAACTCTCCCATTGCAGGACTTGGCAGAACCATCCATACTTCCCGTCACACTTTCTGTTTTTCATAGCAATCGGTAGTCCTCCTTCCTGGTCTTTCTCTTCGAACATTTTCTTTAGCGGTCGGCGTCCCGCTCTCTCTCCATAGCACGGCCTTCCCCCAGCTCCTCTAAGTCATTTTGCTTCCCCATGGCTTCACCTTTTCCAGCAGTCCCCCAATCTCTACTACCTTTGAGACTGTCAGATTTGGGTCGATATTGTATTGGCAGCCAAGCTGTTTAAACACAAATTCTCTGGCTAATTCCAGGCCCCAGAGCTGAGGAGGAAGAAGCTCGAGTTCTCACATCATGAGTTCTCATAGTTCGTTCCCACTAGCAAGAACCATGAGATACCAAGGAGCTGGGATTCGGGGTGGCGTAAAACCGCCAGGACAATGGGATCCCCGGGCAGATAAGTAAAGAATCCCGCGTTCTGCCCTCCCCACGGAGAATGGGGCCTCCGTCTTGGCCCCTCACCTAACATGAATCATACTCACCTGGGGCAACCGGCATCCAACAAGGGTGTCATAGAGAAGGCACCTCTTTGAAGCGAAGACCAGATCTTTCATCACTTTCCCAGCCCTGCAGACTTGGTCACGTGTCAAGTAGATAATGAACAAATGCATCACCATACTCTATTCATTTATTTTTGACAAGTGAGCCGATGACAGTGCCCCCTTGCATGCTAATAAAATATACAGGAGCCACATTTGTAAAGTCTTTGAAATACACGGCTTCACACCAGTACTCCGCTATGAAATCTTTGCTGGGCAGTGGAGTAATCAGACTGCTGGGACTGGTGAAAAATGATTACATTTGAAGATTAGTGCCACTCTCCTGTCCACAGGCTGTGGTTTCAGACAGTACCATGGCTTTGATAAAGCAGCTCCCAGCTCGTAGGCTCCAGATAATTAATGTTTCCCATATTGCATGGAGATCAAGCCTCGGAGACAATTTAGTGCTGAGAAGCCAAAAGAACTGGATTCTTCCGGTGTCTGAACCTCTGAGGCTTGGCGGTCAAGAAGGAGTTACCTTCTTTGGGTGCCACCTAGCCCAGGAGAGGGAGAGGAGGGCTTCATAGCTCTCCTCCCTACTTGGGACCCTGCAGTTGTAGATCCCAAGTCCCCTTAGGTCATCTGAGGCCCTGTTCCACATAATCCAAGAGTTTGCTGACCAAGAGGGACCTCAGGGACTCCAGAGCCGCCCCTCTGGGTTACTGTTCTCTAGTCTCAGGAGCGCGGTAAGGCTTTCCCACCTTTGGTCCTGCCTTTCCTACACATCATGTCTCTCCAGGGCCTTCAAGAGATCCCACTCTCCTTCCTGTAGAATGTCTATTGTTGAAGGAACGAGGCTGGCCCATCTCTCGGCTTCCGTCTGTACGCTGGTCAACAGGGCTTTCTCTGGTTTCCTCCACTGCCCCATTCCAATCCATGACAGGGGATCTAGAAAGGGAAAGAACCCAGGTTCGAGCCTCCAGTGGCATGGGTCGAAACCGACTTTTCATTCCGGCCCCTACCTGTGCAGACCCACAGACTGTCTCCAGCTCTCCCTCCCACACAGGTGCTCCTGACTGCACCCGTTCTGACCTGGATGTCGACCTCTGGCCTGGCCACCGAGGCTGCAGCTTGGCGCTCTGGCGGGCCCCGTGCACAGCCTCCTCTGAGTCCTCCCTTTCCGAGCCGCGCACGCGTGTGTATGTGTGTGTAAATGTGTGTGTGCACATGTGTGTGTCTCCGGAGCTGCCTCCCTCCTCACCACTAACCCCTCTTCTAACCTGCCCACCAGCCCCCGACAGGCAGTCCATATGGAACGTCACGGTGCTCCCCAACAGTAAATGGGCCAACATCACCTGGAAGCACAATTTCGGGCCCGGAACTGACTTTGTGGTTGAGTACATCGACAGTAAGCATTGCTGAGCGGAGGGGGGAGGGCGGCGGCGGCTGCTGCAGCGGGTAGCGCAGATGCCATTAGAGAGACTCCGCGGACTCCCCCAGGCTCTGAGGGCCTGCTAGCCCGGCTTAATTATGACATAATGAAATCGATACGCGCTCTGGCGGCAGTGGGGTGGGAAGAGCAGCCAAAGGAGAAGGAAGAGGGCTTCTGAAACCATTAGTGGAGGTCTAGGGTTGCATGTGCTGGGGAGGACCTGGGTAATGGGGCTCTGCGTCTGCTTCCTGCCCAGGATGCGGGTTCTGAATAGCATCCCCCACCCCGTCACGAGCCAAATCTCACTTCTGCGTGGATTTCCGTAACTCACAACCCATGGGGTCTCCACTGGAGAGGCGAGGCCAGTTCAGACTTTTGGGTTCAGCTGTGCTTTGCACACAGAGGAATGCCAGTGGCCCCCCGTCCAAGGCACTGACCGGGGCCACTTTGTCTCAGAGAGCGGGTGACTGGAGCTGAGCTGTTCACTCTTTATGGGATCTCAGGATCAAGGCTACATATTGATTAGACTGTAGAGTGTGGTCAAATATCTGCCTTCTGTGAAGGAAGAGCCCTGCCCCTAGAGACTCAGACGCACCAGGGTGTTCTCCTTAGCCTTGAATGAAACCAGCTCGCCCCTCCGGGAGATCCACCTGGGCGAGCTCCCCGAAGATCTGTAAGGAAAGAGCAAAGCCGACTCTCAGTCCTCTGTGGCCACAGGCGTTCCCATCCATAGAATCAGTCCTTGCCATCGAAGCTCCCAACAGCCACCATTCACCCCGCACCTCAGAGGCCAGGGCACTCGCTTCTCCTGATGTGTGAACGCTCCACACAGCGAGACAGGAGAGGGGAAGCCAGGAGGGAGAGCCAAGAAGTAGAGTCCTGCCTCACCTCCGTGTCCCACGAGGGGGGCTGACTGGCTCTCTGACCCTTCCCGGGAAAGCTTGCACCCAGGAAGTAGGTCGCAATTGTTTAGCGCTAAGACCATAGTGAGGAGAAAAAGCTTGAGGGGAAGGAAGAGCGCCCTTGGCAGAAGGGCTGCCAGATGGGAGAGTCAGCATCGCATAGAAGGTTTGGTAGAGCGGCCCGGTGACCTCCTGGTCTGCACTTGACGGTGACCAGGAACCCAAGCACTGCCTCTCCAGCTCCTCGTGCCTGGTCCTAGGCTGACTGAGGTTTCTGTTCCCCAGGCAACCATACGAAAAAAACTGTCCCTGTTAAGGCCCAGGCCCAGCCTATACAGCTGACAGACCTCTATCCCGGGATGACTTACACCTTGCGCGTTTATTCCCGGGACAACGAGGGCATCAGCAGTACCATCATCACCTTTATGACCAGTACAGGTGAGAGGGGAGCTGGCCTGGCCATCCCCGGCAAGCATGGGGCATTTCATCCCATTCTCAGCTTCCTGCTTGTCTCTTCTCCTTGGAAAGAAGAATCATCCCACCCATTCCCCACCTTGCATGGCACGTCTCGGCTCTTATTATACGTCTGCCCACAGCTCCCAGGAACCCAAGAGGAGCCAGAGTGCATGCACAGTGGAAAGGAAGAGCCCTTCCAACCCTGAGGCATGAGCGGGGAGTCTGAAGGAAATAGGATTGTAGCATGAGGATGGAGGAGGCCACCTGGCCCCCCTCGCTGGGCTTGAAACAAAAGGGCTTGGTGTAGGTGCAAACCCGGGCCCTGGGTGTGGGGCCGGGGGCCAGAGGAACACAGAGCAACCCGCCCCATGCACACAGGACCTTGCTTCCTGCGCGTGGTGTTAAGAGACAGGGCCATCCAAGGGCCTCGACCCCCCAGATCTTCCCAGGATCAGCACATATGTCACTGCCTTACCACTATCATCTGTTAGAAAAATTCCCAAGTGCGTAACATGAGTTGCTGGGGGCTTTATTTTGGCTTAATTTTTTATCCCACGTTTGCGGTGGCCTCAGAGTAGTTAATCTGTCATGTTCAGCAAGAGGAGGAAGCTCTCGGGTTGGAGCAGAGTTCTGGCTCAAAAGGGACTTCAGCTGTCGCTAGAGAAGCAGCCTCAGTGCACCAAGGGGATAGGCTGGCGGGGGCTCAGGACATGGGAGCAGGTCAGGATGGGCAGGCAGTTTGGAGACCGGAGGGCACTGCTGATGTGTTCCTGTGTGTCTTCACAGTCGGCCAGGCAGGTGGCCGGGCTAAGCCCTGGGGCCAAGGGCGAGGGTTGGGGAAACAGCCAGAGAGAGAAAAGGACCAGTCCCTGCCCCCAGGATGCAGGTTAGTAGACACATGCATAGAAGGAAAAGAAATACCACAGAATGATTTATATGACCTTCTGAATGTTGACTGAAATACTCATTACCCCCCTGTGCCTGGCCAGACTCATCCTGGCATCCTGTATCTTGAGAGTCACCCCCCTCTTCTTTATAAATGTCTCCCTCCACCCTTTCTGGCCTGGTCCCTCCTGGTCTGGACGTCCTGTCCTCCGCCCCGTGCCTCCACCTGTCCTGCCTATGTCCAGGCCATCGAGACTCAGGGAGTCTGAGTCCAGCTGCCCGCTTGAGGCCAGCCCAGCCAACTCAGGCACGACGTCTGAGCAAGTGGCCAGGCCGGCTTGGCAGCCAGCCAAAGGAACTGGGCAGCTGAGCGAGCAGAGCAGGTGGCTGGACTCTGTCAGACCCAGTCAGGATCCCAAGCTGGCGCTCATCAGTACGTGCGTTTGATTTTGCTTCATTATGAACCTGAGTTCAGCACAGAAGCAGGGGAGCCCAGATAAGATCCCTGGCTGGAGCACCCTGGTAGGGAACCCTGCCAAAGCCGGGCACCCTCTGCTTCCAGAGTTTGACTTCTACCAGCACCAAGTCCTGGGGCTGTGAGTGAGGGGTGTGGAGAAAGAGCCAGAGAAAAAAGGACCAGTGCCTGCCCTCGGGGACATCCCAGTCTGCTTCCCCATATCGAACATGCGGTACCGGGGGGAAAAAAGGAAAAGAAAAGAAAAACAAGAAGATTGATAATACACTTCCAAACATTGGCTCAGTGTCCTTTTCTCTTTTCCTGTGGTGGTTCTGGAGAGACGCTTCCTGATAGATCGCTTTCAGAGTGAGTGAGTTTTCCCAGATTCCGCTCTGTGCAAGCTGGGGTGAGCAGGTTTGTGACCCCAGCCCTGAGTGCATATTGCTCGCTGACCTCACTGGCTGGCTAGAAATTACCATGTGCAAACCACAGAGGGAAAGGAAATATTTTCACTTTCTGAAGTTTGTGTGTTTCTGGATTCTTCAAAAATGCACGCTGTGTATCCTTGGGCGGACTCCCGAGCCAAGTTCCCACGATCGCCTCGGTCCCAGGGTCTCATCAAAGCAAGAGTTTATGAGCATCTCTGGGTCACTTAGGTGACCACAGGCCATCACTTTAGCCCACAGACTCAAACATGCAGCAGTGGTTCAGGGGGTGATATGGAAGAAAACCCCTAGGAATGCTAACCAGCTCCCTGGCCCTCACCAGGAACATCCCACATGGAAAGTTAATCACCTCCTTGATGCTTTTGAAGCCAAAGAGACCCAAGGGGCCACAGACACATAACTCTAGACTCCGGGGGGCTCCTCAGCTCTTCGGTCCTGGGGGTGGGCAGTAGGGAGCAAGGAGGCAGGGGGCAGGTGGGGACAGTGGGCCAGCGGAACAGACCGCGGACTGCCTCAGACCGCAGGGAAGCAGGAGGAGGGACATCAGGGGACCTCCCTGTAGTCAGTTTCATTTATGTTTGGAGGAAACCCAGGATGGGGCATGGTGCGGATGCGGAGGCGTCAGGTGCAGCTTAAGTGAGAGCAGCTAAGCCCCAGTGCATCTGAAAGAAGTCCCGTTCTGCATATTTCTCTGTTCCTTTTTCTGAAATGTAATTCTCCTGCGGACTTTGAGTGACTGGCCTTTGACTCATGAGAACCGCCGAATGGCCCATTTCTGAGCAGTGGTGCGAGAGTGCGGTGTGCAGAAGGCACACAAAATATGGCCTCTGGTCTAGAGTGAGAGGCATTGGGACTCTGAGTTTGCCAGGCCTTGTGGGCTGGAAGAGCAGGTGCTGTCTGGCCCCCCCATTCCAGGAGGAGGTGGTGAGCGTCAGCACAGTCCGGTCTTCGAATGTTGTCATTACCGTGTCCATTAGGAATCTTGAAACACGTTGAACAGATCGATTAAGAATGATGTTGGCAGCCAAGTGTAATGCCCTGAGCCTCCCTACAGCGCCTTCCGCCTCGCCGAGTCCATTCTGTCGGGTCACGTGAATGAGATCATCTTGTCCTAAATTGCTTTTGGTTCTTGAGAAGCTAAGTCACTTTGATGGGGTCTGGTGGAGCCCACTTCACCCCAGATCCCACCTGGTTTGGGTTTTGTTGACCAATCATTGACTAGAGCCTCGTCTTAGTTTCAGGTGTACAACATAATGACCTGATGTGTGTAGGTATTGCAAAGCGGGGCCACGAGAAGTTTAGTGAGCGGCCAGCACACCGCGTAGTTACAAAACTCACTTGGATTTGAACAGCCTTCTGGGTCCAGAACGTTCTTTGACCTCTTTGGCAAGGACTGAAGGTAACGTTTGAACTTCAGGTCTGTCAGGAATGGACAGCTACATTCGCTTCCCAGATGGCCCATATGGCCACTGTCCCTGGGATTGTGACTTCCTCTCACAAGACAAAGGGAGTCTCTGAGAGATGGCTTGTCAGGACATACATAACAAGCTTCAGGAAGAATGTAGTGGAGCAAACAGGGCCCTGCGGACCTACAAACCAACTGTTGCATGGAAGGTGGGAACCACCATCCAAACTCAAGGCTCATGGTCAAGCCAATCTCCCTCTGACGCCAGCAAGTCTCCCAAATTAACCGTATTAAATTAGGATTAAACTGATATTTTATAAGTAGTCACTGCCTGCTTGGCACGTGACCAGCATCATGCAAAGCCCTAGGGGGCCCAACGACTCCCCTGTTCTCGAGCTTTTAATAGGATCATTAAAAATCCGGACCCAGGAAACAGAGCAATTGAATGTTATGTTTGGTGGAGTAAACGGGTAGAATTGGACTTCTGAGATTGGTGTGAGCGGGAGGAGGGGGAAATTCAGGAAGGAGAGGTAGAGTGTGGAGAGGTGGAGAGCAAGAGGGCAGCAAGCCAGGCTGACTCAGGCACGGTGGGAGAGCTGTCGGCTGGGGGTGGGGGGGAAGCGTGGAGCCCCTGGAAGGCCGGGCATGATGGGAGGTGTCCTGAGAGCATAATAACACAGTGTGCCATTGTATCCTTGGGACCTGATAGACCCAGGGTGAGGAGGGGACGCCCCTAGCCTGGAGCAGTGAGGCAAGTATGAGGGACACTGGAAGGACAAAGGATAAGCCTTAGGGATGGCAGGAATGGGGAAGCCACTGGCAGGAGGGGGGACAGGAAGACATGGGTCGAATTTCAAGCAGACAGACCATCCAAGGAGATGTTAGGGTATTAGCTGGGAACAATGGGCTTGGTGCTGTGGAACTGGCTGGAGGGACAAAGCGAGAGGAGTTAAGGGATTGCTGGTTGGAAAGTCAGCCCTGGAGGATGGGGGAAGGTAGTAGATGAGGAGGTAGAGGGAGGTTTGGGAAAGACCCACTCCACCGTGGTCATTGAAGCAGTGAGTAGAGAGGGGCTTGAGGTTGGCCTGGCGGGGTTGGAGGAAGAAGAAGTAGACGAGACCTGGAGCCCATGGAAGGTGGAGTTCACCCAGAGAAGAAGTGTGCCTGAGCTCGAGCTGATTCCTCCAGGGTCTTTGTTTTATGATCCAGGAAGCTTCAGGGTATTTAACAGCAGAAGGGAGGAGAAAGCAATGAGGAAGGTGCTGGAGGGTTTGCTATCCTTCTAAGACTGAGCCCCCTGGGAGGGGCGAGCTACTGCCGTGGCTGTGGAGGCAAGGACAGTTGTGGAAGCAGTGATGCTTCAGTGGTCACATTAATGTCACCGACACAGGGATATGATGGCGTGGAGTGGCGTGGGAGGGAGCAGTAGTTTGGGGGGACAGGGAGAGAGGAATGGAGGGATTGCCAGGCAGCCCCAAAGGTCCAATTGAAGTGCACATAGCTTACCAGCTCTGCGACCTTGAGCAAATCACATGAACTCGCTGTGCCTCAGTCGTCTCATCTGTAAGATGGGGACAATAAAGCCTGCTGGATGAGGTGGTGAGGACTGAATCAGATGAGGCGTGGAGAAGTACTCGGAGCGTGAACTGTGATTAGTGCCGACCCGGATGGGGACGAGCACCAGGAGAAAGGGGAATGAGAGCCGTCTGGGAGTGGCTGGTTGGGGGAGAGGGCTTTGCCTTTAGCTGGGAAGGCCTTCCTAGGAGGAGAGGATGGCAGGTGAGGCGGCCATCTGAAGGAAGAGCAGCACATGGAAAGGCCCGAGGTAGGGAGGTGAGCGGCCGGTGTGGCTGGAGGAGAGAGGGTGGGAGACGGGCCTGGAGAACGGTCCGGGGTCAGCCCCGGTGGGGCCTGCTGGGACAGGATAGGAGGCATGTGTTTCCCCGGTAGCAGTGGGACGCATTGGAGGGTTGGACTGAGGAAGTGATTTGCTCAGATGTGGGGTTCTAGGAGGATCTCTGTGACACTGTCCAAGGAGCAGCCTGCAGGAGTGTGAGGGAGGGGACGTCCCCCACAACAACATCCACAGACCAGGTGAGCACAAGGGCAGAAAGCACAAAAGTGCTTGCTCCTGTCTTCCCCATCTGTCCAGACCCTTCCTGGTGCCATGACCTTACCTAGGCACAGGGAAGGCGATAAAGACTGTTTCTCTGTCCAAGAAGAGCAAAGGGTAGGATTGCACCCCGATGCTTGCCCCACAAAAAGGCATGGGATAAAGACTCTGGGGCACGAGGGCTCTGGGTCACCCCCTGTTCCTTGTGCTCCCCCACCCCCACCCGGGAGGAAGCCCCATGTTTGGCTTGGGCTCTGTGGGCTCTCTGGGACCCTGCTGTCGACTGGCGCTCTGAGACAACCCCTCAGCTCACTTGGCGGGCTCTGGGCTTACTTTGGGTCTGCTCGGGTGGCTTGGATCCTGCCTCTCCTCCCAAGTCTTGGTTCCCATGGCAGGCTGGGTTTCAAGAGGGGGCGCTTGTGCTCTCTAGTCCATAGAAAGAAGAGTCGGGGGGGGGGGGGGTCCTGCCCACTACACACCCCCTCCCAACCCTATTGCCGACAGTTGCATCATTCGGGATACCGTGAGATGGCAGCTGAGCTCCTGTGCTCTGGGCCCACTCACGTGCTCCTTGAACTATGAAGGGGTCTGCTCAGGTCAAGACATGTCTTCACGCACTCCAGGAGCGGCTAGGGAGGGACTCACGGGCATGGGGGGGCGGGGTCTCCATGCATGGACGTGCTCTGAAATGGCATGGGGTGCGCAGAAGGCATGGCCTGGCCCATCTGGGGTACCCGCACAGGGACTGTCTGCTGCAAGGGAGCACACAGTCCAGCTGGGGGAGCGTGAGAAAGCACACAGCGCTCTGGAATGACACTCCAGCCAGGACCCCTGGCAAGGAGACCTGGTTGGCTTCGGGAACATATCGGTGGGAAAGGCTGCTGTTCGGGGCCTGTGCGGGCCTGTGAAGGTGTTCTTGGAACAGGTTTTTGCAATGTAGCCACGGCCTCTGTTCCCTGATGCGTAGCAGAGTCCCGTTTCCTCATCCCAGGCTCATTGACGGGGATTCAAACTTCCAGGGCCAATCCCTGGCCTTCTCTCCACCCCCATCAGGCTGTCACCAGCCATCTGGTTTGCAAGAATGCCATGCCCCATCCTTAGGAAACTTCCTCTTCCTAGAGGACCTGTTCAGCCTTCTGCTGCTTATTCTGCTCCCTATATCCCTTTCCTGTGCCTCTTTTCTGACCTCTGGACCTTGGCTCTTTAATTATTTTCTCTCCGTCCCTGTAGCGGGGTGGTTCGGGCCAGAGGGCTGCTAGGTAGTAGCTTAAGGCTCGAGGAGGAACATCGACATGAAATAGCCATTCTTCCCCCACGTTTCCCTGCTCACCTCCACCCACGGGAAATCACTCACGTCTTTGCTCCTGCCCTTCCCCAGCTTACACCAACAACCAGGCAGACATCGCCACCCAGGGCTGGTTCATTGGGCTCATGTGTGCCATCGCCCTCCTGGTGCTGATCCTGCTCATCGTCTGTTTCATCAAGAGGAGTCGGGGCGGCAAGTACCCAGGTAGGATGTACAAGAGGAACGGGCCTGGGGACATGGGGCCAGCATTCCCAGGAGCTCCCAGGTCCCTGGCCATATCCAGGGGGCTCAGGTTCTCTCGGCAAGCCTAACCCTTGCCAAGCTTGGACAGACAGTCCTCTCCCCTGGTCTGTGCATCTCAGAGCTGCCAGAAAGCACTTGAGTTAATCAAGTTCGCCTGAGGTGGGTGGATGGAACGGTCCAGGCAGCTCCAGAGAGGGGACGGAAGGAACCGTGACTCCCATTAAGAATGACCTTCCCTCCCCTTGACTCACCAGCTGTCTGCTCAGTAAATTGGCTTTTTTCAGCCTGAATCTCATTAGGATCCCATGTCCCAAGGAAGGAAGAAGGAAGAAAGGCATTTCCTCTAACCATGAGAAGGAGAGAACAGAGAAGGGAGGGTCTGGATGAAAGCAGCACGCCCATGAGAGAGGCTCTCAGGGACTGGGCTGTAATGACAGACCCCTGGCAGAGGGTCAGGAGCTCCTGCTCTAAGAGCCCCCAGAGGCTCAGGGGTGGCCTGCATTGGTACAGACCCCATCAGTAAAGAGCTCTGAGCTTCCCTAGCGTCCCAAAGAGCCATTGCTCTTCTGGGTGCCTCAAGATCCACCAGCCCAGACAAACCAAGGTCAAGGACAAGGACCTCTAGTATTCCTGCTTCTGGAAATATTGATTATTTTTTCAAATAGGGGCAACAAAACCATCTGTCTGGGACGGGGTGGGTAGAATGACAGGAGACAGGATAATGGATGACCCAGTGAGCAAAAATCCTGCTGGACTGCAGAATGAAATTGCTCCCTCCCCGCCAAAGCCCCATTGCCAAGCACAGGCCATGCTTGCCTCTCCCTCCCTCTAAATGAGTCCTCCTCCAGGGTCCCCCTAAAACTCAACTCAGAGAGAAGATTCTCTTTTATTCCTTCCCCTGTCCACGTACCCTCAGACCCTAGGATTCTAAAGGGTTTTGCCTGTGATTTAAGTGAGGCAGGTGTGTGAGGGAGGGCAGGAAATTATAATTCTTTATTGGCAAATACTGTTTCCTTTCACCTTAATGTGCTGTGTTGGGATTGTTTTTCTCCTGAAAAAGAGAAAGCCAGAGTCAGGGAGAAGAGTAGCCTTACTGAGCTCACACCCCAACTCATCAGATCAACTCTGAGGCTTCCTTTGCCTATTAGACAGTGTTGTTTTCCAGAAAGTTCTTCTCACAGCTTACCTCCTTCCCTCCAGCTGCAAGGTAAGGCCCTAGTCCACTAGAAAAATGAGCAAACCATGAGGCCCGGGCTCCAGCCTTCGTGCTAGACTTCATGGTAGACTCTGTGCTGGGTGCCAAGGACCCTGAAAAGAAAGGTGATCTCTCCCTCAAGACACAGCAGGGGCCCGGCAGGAAGATCACAGCCCAACAAGACAGGGCGTGGGATGGGTGTGTGCAAACCACAGAGGAAGCGTGGGAGAAGAGGGTCCCACACACTAGTGAGGTCCCAGCCGGGAGAGCATTTTCCATCCCAAAGGTGCCTACAGAAAGTCCCCTCGGCCCAGGGCCCCCTATTGGGGGCATTTACAAACTGAGCACAAATATCCGACCGAACGAACGGAATAAGAGAGGGGCCAAAGAACAAATCACATCCATTTGGTGGTGCTCGGGGGCAACCCCTTGGAGAGGTGGGGGTGGGGGGAGGGGCAGGCTGGAGGAGGTTTCAGTTGTCAACAGAGAAACCCTGGGGATGATGAGGAGGCGGGGCGTCAACCTGACAGCGGTTAAATGCAGGAAGCCAGAACAAGGGAGGCACTGATGGTGCCTTGTTGAAAGAGTGTCACCAACTCTACAGTTGGGGTCCCAGGGAACAGGGACATAATCACCATGTCTGTGTCTTTGCTTCTCTTACGGGCCAAGTGCGAGAGAAGAAGGATGTTCCCCTGGGCCCCGAAGACCCCAAGGAAGAGGACGGCTCCTTTGACTACAGGTGGGTGACCTGTCTGGCTCCTGGTCCCCAACCCCCACCCATCCGGCTGTAACTTCTGCCTCCCCGACAGCCCCTGCTTGTAATGAGGGGGCTGGACGAGGCTGCCTCCCCGCAGGGGGGACTCTGCCTGGCACAGGCTCATGGATTTTTTTTTTTTTTATTTATTTGACAGAGAGAGATCACAAGCAGGCAGAGAGGCAGGCAGAGAGAGAGGAGGAGGCAGGCTCCCCGCTGAGCAGAGAGCCCGATGCGGGGCTCGATCCCAGGACCCTGAGACCATGACCCGAGCCGAAGGCAGCGGCTTAACCCACTGAGCCACCCAGGCGCCCCGAGTCTCGTGGATTTGAGGGACACTTTTCCATTCACTCAACTATAGCTCCAAGCTGTCGAGATCCCCAGACGGGTGCTTTCAGCCACCTCTTTCCTCTGAAAGCAGACGCTGGGAAGGCCACGGCCATGAAATGAGCTGTCAGTTTCCTCTCTGCCCACCGCCCCCTCCCTCCCACAACCCTGAAGACAGGGACTCAGGGAAGCTGTATTGTCTTGAAACCTCAACTCAGTGAGGAATTGGGGAGGCGGTTCTAGACCTTTTCCTCATGAACTTGAATGATATCTCCGGGCCCTAGCCAAGAACAGCCCTTGGAGAGGCATCTAGTCGTGGCCTGTCCCAAATCAGAGGACTGAGGCCCAGACAGGGAAGTGACCTGCCGAGGAATCCCACCCACGCTCGACACCCAGGGAGCTGGTGGCAGAGCTGGAGAAGCCAGGGCCTGAGTTCCAGCTGGGCAACATCATGATCCATCCGTCTCAGATCTGGATGGGCCTTTGTGGCTGGCGTGATGACGTTGTAATGTCCCATTTTGATGGCAAATGTATCCTGAGTTAAGGAATGATGCAGGGCGGGTCATGGAGGCCTCATTCCCAGACCAAGGCGGGCGGGAGGAGATGGTCTGATCAGAGCCTACTTCCCCACCCCCACCCTGTTACTGTCCGGGGCAAGATCACCCTGTCTTCCCTGACCTCTCCTTTTCCCGCCCTTGGCCTCCACCACTCTGCTCACCAGCAGCCCAGCCCACTGCCTGGCCAGGAGCCTAGCAGAAGACTATGTACCAAATCTATCCCCCCAGCCCCCACGTCTCCAAAGGCCTCCTAAAAGGGCGAGCAGCAGAGGCCCCTCCCCTGCCTATCCTCAGCACCCCCGGCAGGGCCCATCTTCCCCAGGGGCTGAGCCCTATTTCTTGACCACCGGTTTCCAAAGGACACAGGGCTTTCCCTCCCCCAGGCCCTCAGTGCAACCCCAGAGAGGGGTGAGGACCTCCTGGGCTCGGAGAAGCCACTTCCTCAGCCACCTCTCCTCCCCAAGACACCAAAGATGTCTGCCTTGTCCCCACCCACTCCCCTGTCCCACCCACAGGGAGGCTGGGTAGACACACACAGGAGCCTGCACAGGTCCACACCCACACATGCACGCACACACGCGCGCGCACACACACACACACACACACACACCTGCCTCGGGTTTGGCTTGGCAGAGAAACACCTCTCTGGTGGGTCTCTCTGCTTCTCCCTCATCTGTCCCCCTGTTTCCGAGTCTCTCGGAATATGGGCTGACAGGTGACCAGACCAGAGACCCCCTAGTCCTTCTGGTTCCTTTCAAGCGTCCCTTAGAAGAAGTCTGCTCTTTCCAGATCTAGATCCTCTTTCTCTGTGAGAACCTGACACACTGAAGACGCTCCCTCCAAGCTGGGCTGTTCCTGTCCAGTGGCTGCATTTGGCTTAGGTGCCCGGAGTCCCCTAGAATCACACAGACACAATCCTCCTGCTCCTGGAAGGGAGCGTGTGTAAAAAAGATCCAGAAGTAGGACCAGGACCAGCAAGAAGCTGCTGGTTTTCAAAACGTGAGCCCCACTCTCCACACAGACTCAGTGCAGCCCTGTAGACCGGCTGCCTCCCCGTAGCCCCAACACAGGCCCAGGGAACAGGGCACAAGAGGGAGGGGCTGATAGCGTTCCAAGTACCGACGCCGGGCTCGGGTTCGGGCCCCAGGTCCTCCGCTGCCGGCTGTCTCTGCCCAGCGCTGCAGTGAGAGGCTATCACACACTGCCCACTCTAAAGGCAACTCAACTGGTTGTTCCCCCTGCACACAGACACCCAGGAAGGACTGCATGTGGCCCGGGGGCCAGGGAGGGGACATTATGTGTTTGCCCACGATGCCTGGCACCACTGGGGGCCATCCACCCCTGAGATGCGGCCATCAGCACCCGGCCCCCCTCGGAGCCTAAAGGGCAGAGCTTTCCGCAGGCTGGGGAAGGGAGGTGGTGCCTGAGCAGAGCCCAGTTATGGGAGGCAGGTGGGGGGGGTTGTCTCAGTTCCCTAGGGGCACTGCAGACATCCCAGCAGGTAGACCCCGCTCTGCCCCGCAGCCTGCCAGCTCTCCTTGCGGGGGGCCTGGGGGGTGTCTGAAGGGCAGGACCTGGGGGCCTTGGAGAAACCCAGGCAGAATCGTCAGAGCCTTTCAGGGCTTTGTCTCCAGTTACTGGCCTCACACGCTCCCATGTGTGGCCCTCCGCTCGTCCCACCCTCTTTCAGCCGAGGCACCAAGCAATAGTGTCTGCCGCTCGGTAGACCAGAGAGCGGACGGAAAGCACAGCACGGTGGGGAAGGGGGAGCCCGGGGAGAGGCTTCTCTCTCCATGGCCCAGACCCGTTGCTTTTTGCCAAGTGCAGAGCCTTTCCAGACAGGGGCCACCCAGATCACAGAGAGTCAAAGCAAGTCCCACCCCTCTTGATGGAGAGACTAAGGCCCGGTGAGAAGAAAGGCATTCCCGAGGCCACAGGACCACACAGTGACGTGTGCAGGACCCACACCCCAGCTCTTTGAACCACCCCATCCTCCCTCGTCTCCCAGTAGCTGGCTGTCCTCACCGTGGGGTGGCTGACCCCAGACTGGAGTCAGAAGACTGGGCTCCAGGCCCAGCCTGGCACCACCTTGCCACCTCACCTGGGAGAAGACACCAGGGAGAAACCTGGTCCTCTCCAGACCTCGGGTTCCCGCCATAATCCAGCCAGGCAGGGGAGGGCTCGGGGGTGGGAAAGGCTGACTGGTGACCTCTGAGGTCCTCCCCACTCAGAGCTGCGTAGCCCATGTGCTCGGCGAGAGGCCAACGGCCCGGTGCTACCCCACCTTGGTTTAAGCGACACTGGACCAGGCCAGGCTCTGATTCTCTGTCTCTCTCTGACCAGTGACGAGGACAACAAGCCCCTGCAGGGTAGCCAGACGTCCCTGGATGGCACCATCAAGCAGCAGGAGAGTGACGACAGCCTGGTGGACTATGGCGAGGGTGGCGAGGGGCAGTTCAACGAGGACGGGTCCTTCATCGGCCAGTACACGGTCAAAAAGGACAAGGAGGAGACAGAGGGCAATGAAAGCTCGGAGGCCACGTCGCCTGTCAACGCCATCTATTCTCTGGCCTAACGGAGCCCCCTCGCCCAGGACACAGCCACTACTTTGCAAGTGGGAGGAGGGGAGAGGGGGAGATGAAGCCACCGCAGACCTACCACACAGCCACCACCTCCTTCAGGGACAAGGGTACAACAAGGGGGTCTGCCAAGCTGTGAGGACCAGTGACGGCCCAGCCAACCCCAAGCCCCCTCCCGATGACCGCCCCTGCACCCCCGGGGGTGCCACCGTGTGGAGGAGTCCTGGCTAAGCTCAGCTGGAGGGAGCCCAGCCCTTCCCTCAGCCCCACGGCCTCCTGGAGCCTCCCCCACCCCCGCCCGCCCTTGCCCCTTGCCCTCCGCACGTGCACTCACCGGTTTCTGTTGGTCACGGCCCTTCACGTTATCCTTATTTTTCTTTTGTGCGTCCTCCCCGTCCAGACCCAGCGTCTCCATTTTCTTTTCCTTTCGAAGGAATGTCCCTGGACAAAGAAAGAATGGGTGGATTCTCCCCCAGATGGGCAAAAGGATTGACCTGTAAAAGATGTTGTAGAAAAGCTGTCGTATTCACACCGCCCCCCGGGCCAACGTATTTCCGAAGGATGCCTTTCTCGCCAGATGCCTCCCCGGGCCCCCAACCCATGCGCCTTGGCCTTGTCAGTTGCTGAGCTGGGCTTGGCTGCTTTCTGGAAAATGACAGTATTTTTGGCAGGGAGAGAGTGGGCAGGCCTCCTTGCCCCGCTCTGCTTCAGTCGGGAGGTGGGCTTACCTCTTGCTCCTGGCTCTCACCCTGCCCCTTCCCCCAGCGTGTCCCAGACAAGAGCTGCGCCGGCTCTGAAGGAGTCTGAGGAACGGGAGCGGCCACGGATGGGAAGAGCTTCGAAGCCAGTGGCCGAGTACCTCAAGCAGAGGGAAACCGGACGTCTGGTCCCTGGGGAGCTGTGCTCACCTCAGGAGAGAAGGAAAGGGCTGGGTTTGGACTTCCTTCCTCCCCATCGGTGAAACCCGGGATGTGGGAGAGAGGACCGTGCCCCCTGCCTCGAGGGATGAGGGCACCCCCCGACCTGGTCAGGGATCCCCGCTGCTACCCTCCCGGGGATGGAACCAGGCGATGCAGAAGCTTTGCTGATGTGTTTGGGGGTACAAGGTGCTGCTCCCCCTCTCGCCTCTAGCAAGTAGCATCTCCTCCGTCAATTCTGTAAGACGTCGAAAGTGGTGTTTCACACCGTGCCGCCCCCCGAGACCGAACCAGTGTGTCCTGTCCTCGGGGTATTTACATATCAGGAGAGTGCGCGGGAACACCACGCTGACCACGCTGGAGAGCCCGGCCTGGGGACCCCACGCCCTCCGGATGCCTTACGCAGCTCTGATGTGGCCCTGCAGCTCCCAGGTCCCCAGCCCCTGCCCGTAAACCTCGAAGCCTCCAGCGATGTCTCTCAAGAATGGGGCGGCCCCAGCAAACATCACCACAGACCCAGAGCAGCCGCTTGCCGCGCGCCCTGCACCCCGTTGCCCGGCCCGAGACCCACACAGCCTGCAGTGCTCAGAGACCCAAGGCGCGGCCTTCAGCCTCCCCACCTAATCCGTTTCTGAAACCAAAGGTACCTAGCCTCAGAGCGAGATCTTGAGCCTCAGAGCAACCTGGTAGCGGTCGCTGCAGCTAGAGCTGGTTTCGGGAGGGGGAAGCTGACCCCGGATCTGGACTGCCTGCCACGGGCACAGCCTCTGGTCCGAGCCTCCAGCTGCTCGCCCGGCAGCCTGGGCAGCAACGGAGCTGCGTCCTTCAGAGGCTCGATCAAAGCATCGTTTGCCACACATTTACGCCACAAAGGTATTAGCAATGTTTGCATCCCTTCATAATCAGTCAGCTGAAGGTCAGGCGCATAGACACACGTACTCTGTCTGCAGGTAAGAAACCATAGCCCAGAGCTTAGCCAGTTGTGCTGTTTGAACCTGAGAGCAGGCGCCTGGCCTTTGGCCCCAGCCGTGGCCAGCCTTTGCAGCCCAGAAGCCCCAGGGGCAGCTCCCTCATGCTGAAAGGGGACAGGGTGAATCACGGGGGGCTAGGAGTGAGCTTATGGGCCCCCTCCTCTGGCTTTCCTCTACAGCTAGGCAGTCCTGCACCCAAGCCCAGCCTCTCTCCAGGGAATGTCAGGGAAGTGTGCCTATAAACTGAATTAAAGGACCAGACTTCCCAGAATATGCTCTGAATCTGAGCAGAGAAGATAGTGTCTTGGGCGCCCCCCTCCATGTGACACCCCGACACCAGTGAGCTCAGTGCACTGCAGGCCGGCTTGTTGGGTAAGGGGACCATGCACTGTCACGGTGCCCATCCCCCCGGCCGTGCAGCTGAGGACCGCAGAAGGCCTCCTGCCGCCCAGGGGTCTGGGGGAGAGATGATTGCTCAGCCTATCTGCTCTTCTTGTGTGTCGTGCCCACTCTGCACCAGCTCCCTCTGTGTTGGAAGGCCGTGCGGGCAGCCACATGGAGAGGCGCCGCCGCCTGCACCGCCACACCACCCAGCCCTCCTGGCAGGCAGGAGCTAACCTGAGCCCGGAGAAGCCGTCTCCCCTGAGCAGAGATGCTTAGAGAGGTGTGTGTAGGGCAGGGTTAGGGAGCAGCCCTTCCAGGAAGAGATTGTCCATTTCCCGGGAGCCCATGCCAGAGCCCAGCCCACTCAGCCGAAAAGCAGTATTGTCCCTCACGCCCTGCCCACTGGGGCTCTCAAGCAACCGTGCCCAAAAACATACCAACCATGGAGCCAGGAGACAGTGACACCATCAGTGCTTTTGCCTGCCTGGCTGTAGGGGGTGGGGGAGTCTCTCAGTGATCCCAGAAGCCCTGTTGCCTGTGCTGCGGTCCCACCTGCCTGTGCCGAGCCACCAAAGCTGTGGGCTCAGGAAACAGCCTTGAACTTCTAGTCTGAGCCATAGTCACATGCGAGCCCTGCCCTCCCAGGCCTGGAGCTGAGATGCAGGACACAGTGGGCATTGGTTGGGGGCACCTTGAGTTCTCAAGCCTCCGGTTGCTCCAGGGTCCAAGGGGGAATGTCCGGCAAGAGCATGTAGTCCACGAGGCTGAGGAAGATTGCGGGGGGCGGTCAGAGCCTGTGGGGTGGGGTCGAGGACCAGTCCTGCTTCCTGAGTCTCTTTGCTCTGCCCCTTGGGGCAAGTTGCTTGACTTGTCTGTATGTTGGTGCCTCCAGTTCCCCTGTGTCATCCCTCCTTTGAATACCTGTGCCCACGGAGGGACAGGAACCCAGCTGAAGGAGCAGGAAGGCCAGCGACTAAGGGGTACAGCGCTGCAGGGCCAGGGACAGCTGCCTCCCACCCTGCCTGGCTTTTGTGAAGGGGACCCATCTTTCCTTATCTTAGCTTTGAGGAGATAGTTGAGGCTCAGCTAAAGGGAAAACCAGACCAGCTCTTTCCCTTGTCCATTGTCTTTGCCCTGGGGTGGGGGCATCTGGTCTATCCCTTCCTGGCAAGTCCCAAGGTCTGGAGGAGGGTCCACCTGTCCCAGAAGTAGCCAGTGCCAACACTGCACACCCTGGCTGGGGGGTCTCTGCAACCTGGACCAGATATGGCTTTCATGGCTTCCCCAGACACAGCCTGAGGAAAGGGCTGTGGACAGGTGTGGGTTTTCCCCCCACCCACACCCAGCACCCGTGCATGGGCACAGCCACACAGTAGGGCAGCGCTTGCAGGGGGAACAGTGTAGATTATGACATTGTCTTAGGGTGGTTTCACACCCTGGCCCATTTGAGAGGTTGGACCCCTCTTGAAGGATTCCTGCAGACAGAACCAAGAGAGTCTGATCCGAAGGAGAGGGAAGCTTCCCTGGGAGAACCCGGGGCAGAGGATCTGTAGGGGTCCTGGGGCCCTTTGCTGGATCCGAGCCAAGCCACAGAGAGTCCCAAACAGCCCATGGGACAGAAGCAGCGGGGATTGAACACACTTTGCCTCAGTCTTGGCAAGGCTGCTTCACCAATACTGAGGAGAGGAGGCTCCCCCGGCTCTCAGGGGGAGGGCATCTGGTTCCCTGGGTGCGGGCACAGGCGTGCTCCCCATTCGTGACACCTGGGTCAGCACTCCTACAGCCCCTGCCAAACTCACACATGACTGCTAGGAAGAAATCACCCACTGGATGTTGGCTGACCTTCACGCAGTGGCTTAGAAGTAGCAAGTAGGAGTCCCTGATTGAAAAAAAAAAAAAAAAAATTGGAGGAGACACATGAATGAAACAGAAAGCTTGAAATGCCCAGAGGAGACCGGGCTCTAGGCAGAACCCAGCTCCTGGCAGCCCATCCCCTAAACCAGGCAGGGGCCAGCCCATGGGAGGTCAAACCAACCTTGCTGCTCTCACCAGCCCACTCCGCCCAAGCCTGGGCAGCGCCCTTCCTTCCCTCCCCTGTTGAGAACAGCCTTCCCAAGATAGGTTCAGAGAAGGATCAGAGGGACAGGACCACCACCTGGGGAAGCCACGAGTCTCCACCCAGCAGTGTCCCACGCCACACCCCCAACCAGTGCACCTCCATCGACACAGTAGTATTAAACAGAAGTTCTCTGACGCTAAGGGTAGAAACGAGCTCAGTCCCAGAGCGCGTCGCTTTGGAGACTTCAAACCGCAGCACGCGGGGGAATCACAGAGCTGATCTCATGGACAGGACTCTTCGGACAGATGAGGACACTAAAATCCACGGAGGGGAAGGGACTGGCCCGAGGTCACTCGGCTGGCAAATCAGGGTGAGGGGGAGCCTGAACCCGGGCCTTTGGCGTCCTTGTCTAGGGTTCTCCACCTGCCTGCAGCTGCCTCCTTGGAAATAGAGCTGTAACTTCACATCTGTCTGTACCTCATATCACTTCTCCCCATGCCCCGTACGCCTCCCAAAATGAGACACAAAGGATTTTTCTGAGATTGAGACCAGTCTGTCTGTGACAACCCGTGGGGAAGCCAGCTGCACGGGGCAGACCCCGGCCAGGAGAGCGACAAGCCGACTGGTGTCTGTCACTCTGAAGTCTGGACTGTAATCTGGAGTGGCGTCTCTTGTTCCCTGACACTTGGGGCACCCAGGAGGCTGAGTCCCTTGGGTCCTCGGCCGTGGGGTGCTGAGGGGCAGCCGGGCCACAGAGGCTCTGCCACCCTGGGGTTCACTGGGCTGGAGTTCAGCACACAGAAAGAGTTCAGTGAAGCAATAAACACAAAAATCTGGGAGAAGAAATCCAGAATTTTGTGCCCTACTCTGTTTCTTTTTCAAAAACGATGCCGATCAGTTGACCCTGCCCCTGTTGTTGTTGGTTTTTTGGGTTTTTTTCTTGATCCCCC